ATTCTGACTTTCTGTTTATCATTTTTGTTGCTCCGAAGCTGTAATAAGCCTTTACTATACCATCTTTGTATTGAATTATTCGTAATCACATCGCATATCATAAACAATATTGTACATATAAGAACAAGTCTGTCATAAAGGGACAAAACATGTTTTTATAACCTATTTTATATTGGAAGTAACATTGTTGATCATGGTGATGAATATCAAATGTTTTATTCTAGTCTTGTTTAAGCCTGTTAACGATAATTTGGACTTTGTTGACAAGCCTGGCAACTTCTGAGCTATAACAACAAAAAGAACACATCCATCACACATTGACCCAGGTGTTGTTTTGTGCTCATAAGCATGGTCAAGAGCTGGCATTATTATGAGAAAACCCGGGGACCTAATGTTTTATGGACAGCAAGGCCTACTAATATAATTTTCAATGCCAAATTCCATCAACGCCTTGGTGGCGTTCTTGACTTTTGAGGACCTAAGAAGAAAAATGGTCCCAAGGTACGGCAAATTATCCAGCACATCCGTCCAGTGTTTTCTTTTATTTGATCTGGTAATGCGGTGAAAATGCCCATTCTTCACAAAACAGGCTGATGGCTGATGTTTTAAAAAAACAAGTTATCATCAGGACGGCCTGGACATGCCTTTTGGAACGGTCATGAAACACAGCAACTTAATATAGAAGGCTGTGGCACAGGACATCCTTAGGGCACCGACTTGAAATTTGACATATAATTAAGGGTGACGGTGATATTATTAAAGGAAGATGAGGTATTTAATCATTTTTGATACATTGAAATGTAAATAAACGTCCGTTTTTCATTTTTCACAATAATAAGTAAGTGTAACATGGGACATAATAATATGTCCGGGCTAGATTAGTCTTGAAATTTGGTGTCGAATTAGCAGTTAATCAATCGAACACCAATGTGTAGTGTTTAAAAGTACATGAAGTTATTTCATCAAAGATGTGTCCAAATCAAAGTCTGTAAACCAAACATTTCTACAAAATAATCATGTCATTTTCATGCTTATACAACATTAATGCACAAGTCATGTGTTTGTTTTCATGGAGAAAAAAGGAATAGTTTAGAATGAGTTTGATTGACATGTATTAACTATAACGCATACTTTGACAAAATGTTCATCATATAATTTTATAATACATCATTTATGTCTCCCTTTTTCGTTTATTTTTCTTGCACATATTATAAAAAAGTATTGCAATGATAAAATTTCATATTTTCATGATATGACAATTCAAGTACTAAAAAATGTTAAAATCTTCCACCAGTTAGCTTATATATCTCATATTCACACCTTTATTTCCTTATACCCTTTAGATAAAATTGCTACATTTGCACCTTTCTAGAGGGGCAAATAAGATAGCGCTTATTAATTTCCGTTGACGTGTCCCAAATGTAACCAATCAAATACACATTTTTGATGTAACATTATGTACTAGAATTTCTTATTACTTTTGTTTCATCTGTTTAAGTATTTCCTTCTGATAAATTGACATTGTAAACAAAAAGGGGTAAATAATGTTTTAAAAAGATGGGAAGACAGCGATTTGAATAACTTATGAAAACTAATGACAAACAGAAATAATGTAATATTTCAAGTATAATAGCTTTAAGGAGACAAGGCACTGTTTAAATACTGATAACAGCTATTTTATAATTATATGCTTAATACCCTACCTAATATGTTAAAATTTATAAAGTTGTTTCAATAAAAACAAACAGTTTTGTAATTTTTTAACATGTATGGTGACCATATTGATTTTTTTTCCGCCATATTGGATTTTAAAAAAATGGGTCCCATGCTTATTTTTTTTATATATAGCCCAAAGTTCATTTGTACCAAGTATGGCGCTTTTCCCATTTTCTACAGTATTTTTTCATATATTGACTTGACTGTATCTTTCAAGATCTTATTACATTCTGAGAACTCTCTCGGTGTTATTCAAAATGGGGGCAATACACAGTTTTCAAGGCTTCTCGGCAAACAACTGACTGCGCCAAAATCAAAAGTCTGTAATCACACACCTGAAATAAATGCATTTCATATTTAACATATATAATACATATGTATCTCACAGCAAACAATTAAAAATACATGTCCACCTTCTAGTTTTCTGGCACATAGCCCTGTGTTTTTCATTGTTTTGGTCGCGAAAATCAACGACAAAATAAGCGGATTACCCCTATTCGCAAAATACAACAATATATTAACGTCAAAAGATTAAATCACAAGCTATAGTGTTTCTTCCTTCTTAAACAATGCACAATCTGAAAATAACATCCAAACGGGGTGCCATCCACCTACTTTTTTCACTATTCTAAGTCTTCTGCATACCCTTTAAATTGAAGAGCTGATTCACCGGCTAGCTCCAAAAACCACACGGTACTCTCTCAAAAAACCAAGGGTCAACGCCACTAAATTCAATTTTACTAAATAACTGAAACAAAATACTAGTCATTGAAACTTGAAATATAGTAACTATAAACATTTAGAACCTCAAATATCCACTTCAATTTCAAAACTGTCTCTTATTTGTAAATTTGACCCTGGCCAATTCGAAACTAAACGGCCGAAACTGTGTACTGCCTCCAATAAAATCTACAACAAAAAGTTGAAGCGGTAAAGATGGCGTTACATTATAATTATCTTATTACATTATTTAATTAAACTTGCATGACCTTTTACATAAATAACGAATCTACATTGTTTATAATAACCCTTAAAAAGTCAAAATCATTAATGACTTCTAAATGTTCGTTGTTATGATCCGGGAAAATTATTTTTTGTCTCAGTTATGATGGCCTCCTTGTCACATTTTTTTAATGGTAATCACATTAAGACCCTAAATAACAACAATAAAGCACTATAGCTATCACAATTACACCACGCGATATTACTTTTCCGGTCAGTGGCGTTGCTTGGTTAAAATTTTCGGGACTTACACCCCCAGTATCTTATTTTGATCTGGGTTGTCTAAGGTGCATTTTGGCGTATATATTGTTCAGAGGATTATTGGAAATTGCAGGTAGACAAATAAACAATCTATATCTTCTTTTGTTTTCCTTTGATAAAGTGTAGGCCTCGGCACACAAGAAGTTGTGTAATTAAGTGTTTTTCTTAAAGACGTCGTTTTCATAAGAGAAATAAAAACAAAGGGCTGCAAGCTCTTTGGTATTTTCTGATCTTTGGAATCTTAATCGTACTGTATATATGTTTATATTTTCCTGTATAAGTTTATTTTTATATATACTATAATTCATCTTACAGGGCACCGAGATGATGCAGCGACTGCGTTTAGATTTTTTACGATAACAGTTTGAGTTTGATACATACCGAAATTTGCATAAATAGAGTTGCATAAAAAAATCATATATGTAAATTTTTTATGACAGCCACACTTTATCCTTGCATATGGTAGCTACTTTAAAAAGACACTTAAAAAAATAGTTGTCTCAATTGAACCCCAGACCTCTCACACCCTAAACGAGCGCGGAGGAATTATACGAAGAAGGCCTGAATAAAATCAAATACATTGTAATTCTAAATTTGGAATTTCCATTTCGGGTTTGTAATCCTTATTAATTTCGAGGTATTTTGTTCACGATAAACCTATTGTTAATTCAGCGAAAATCTTCTCGCCAATGTATATATTCCACTACTCGACAGTCAGATATATTTGTGTAATACGCTCTGAAGTATTCGGTAATCGACATCGCTTAAAATAGCCAAACAATTTTTTACACGCTACGATGTCTGTACAGTCTTCGTTAACAACCAAGACCTATTTTTTTTCATTTGTTACGACAACCGTACAATCTTCATTCACTACAAAGACCTTCAGGTTTTCATTCTCTACAACAAACGATCGTATAGACTAGACCTTCCTATTTTCATTCTCTACAACAACGATCCTATAGACTAGACCTTCCTATTTTCATTCTCTACAACAACGATCGTATAGACTAGACCTTCCTATTTTCATTCTCTACAACAACGATCGTATAGACTAGACCTTCCTATTTTCATTCTCTACAACAACGATCGTATAGACTAGACCTTCCTATTTTCATTCTCTACAACAACGATCCTATAGACTAGACCGTCCTACTTTCATTCTCTACAACAAACGATCGTATAGACTAGACCTTCCTATTTTCATTCTCTACAACAACGATCCTATAGAATAGACCTTCCTACTATTTTCATTCTCTACAACAACGATCGTATAGACTAGACCTTCCTATTTTCATTCTCTGCAACAAACGATCGTATAGACTAGACCTTCCTATTTTCATTCTCTACAACAACGATCGTATAGACTAGACCTTCCTATTTTCATTCTCTGCAACAAACGATCGTATAGACTAGACCTTCCTATTTTCATTCTCTACAACAACGATCCTATAGACTAGACCTTCCTATTTTCATTCTCTACAACAACGATCGTATAGACTAGACCTTCCTATTTTCATTCTCTGCAACAAACGATCGTATAGACTTCACTCACTACAAAGACCTTACACTTTTCATATTCTACACTCTCTATGAGAGCGCTACAGTCTTCACCCTACAACTTTCATTCGCTAAGACGACCGTACAGTCATTATTTGATACCAGCAGGAACACGACCACTTCAACTAAGACCCTTCATAGTTTCCATGATAAGATGGTCTCGCAATGAGGATCGAACAGTTTGCATCCGTTACGAGGACGCACTACGAGGACCATAAACTCTTCACTGAATAATTTTGTCCTACAATTCATGCACTACGAACACTATATATAATCTTCTCGCTATGAGAGAGATAAAGTCGTCACTCGCTGCAAGGACCTTTATAACCCTATTATCTTCATTCCCTACGAGGGCACTTTTGCTGTCTCTTCGTACAACGGTTTGTGGACAGAGGCCATGCTCTGTGGTAGTTGAACTAAAGGAAAAGAACTATATCTGAAGCGTTTTAAAATATGAAATGTCAAGTACGATCATTCATTTCAAACTCAACTATTATCAGTTTGTTTGATACCGTATCAACTGCTGTTTCCGATACGTTTCAAAGTGGTGAATAAAAATTCCTTTATCTTTCACTTTAAACATGATTGTCACTATACAGTTGACCCAGTCTTAGCTTAAAAATGGAGAAGGTCGGCTTTACGTTAATAGTAAGTAGATGCTTCGGCGTTCTTAATGTTGACAGACAATGTATCTGTTTCACTGTTTATTGTAAAAAGTTTATAGGTTTAAAATTAATGCTAGTTACGTCAATGTTTTCCTAATTTTTTTTACATGTATTTTCAATTCCCGTTTGCTTGGATAATACTACCACGGATTTAAATTATTTGTAATATAAATCCGTGATACTACTTTCTACCTACAGCGTTCTTTTAGTTTCATTTGTAATCTAATGTAGATGTAGCAATAAGCTTTATATACATGTATATATTAGATAACATTTAGATTACTAAATAAGACATAAGATGTAACCGCCAATGGATATGATCATAGATGTACAAAATGTATTAGTAAACAAGATTTTTGACAGGTTAATTGTATTTGACGGTTGTTTGGAAATATATCCCGAGCCGTTAGGCGAGGGATATATTGCACACAACTGTTTATATACGGTCATATAACCTGTCAGGAATATTTATAACGAATTTGTAATACAGCAAAAATCTTTTTTAGAGAAAAAAGTGAGTTTTCTTCATAAATTGTCAGCAGCCGTTTATGTAAAAACTATATAAAAGTCACGATTATCCAATGAAAAACGACTTTACAAACGTGCAGTCTTATATTCAAATAAAAACGGAATCCCTAAAGAACACCCAATGCGACAAAATTGAAAATATAGCAGGATTGGTTTGAGTCTTTGCGTAATCTACAAAAAACGCACTTAACCTTATACATAGATCGCACTTTGATTTAATAATAACTATTGCTTGCCTTGGTTTGATAAAAAACTGAAACTGAAACTGCAAATAAAGTACATGTAGTTTCTCACGTTAGTACTCGTATTTGCCCTTAATCAAAAATAAAAACACATGGTATATGGCGAACCCAGATGTTTTTTCTTCTTTTCCTTTCTGCAGGAACCCATGGACTTGTTTATCTTTTTCATGTGTGGCACTCGATTTAACAGAGTATATTTTTCCCGCCATTTATATATAAACTGCTACTATAACGGTTATGTTTATTTGAAATTCGTAGGCTCTGTTGTGCTGTTATAGTTCGACGGTGTATGCAACAAAAGACTACACACTGAAGTACGATCTAACAAGCAAAACACTGAATGTATCTCTTGGTTCCAAACTGGTAAATAAAACTTTTTGAAACTTTTCTTTTGTTCACAGTCAAGCATCAATTAGATATTTTAACCTCTTTCCAGTTATGCTATAGTGACACAAATAACAGCTATTTACACTTCTTTCACAATGCAAGGTATTTTATATTAGATAAGCATATTGTGCAAATAACTTGCTTAGGTGATTAAATGATTTGCCTCTATAACATTTTATTACAAACATCAAGCTTATTTCAAAATTCATTAAAATTAAGCATAATGCATTAGGTTTCTAATAAAAGTGTATTTAAACGTATATTTCTTAAATGGTCCGGCTTGATTTTCAACCTTATATATTAATTACTGTTCATTGTACTTTTTTCCTGTAGATTCTTCAACACAGCCCTTCGTCGTCGATGTTTTTTGTAGGAAATGGTCAAGTGAACTTCCGGGAATTCAGGGGGAACTTTTTTATCAATAACTACGTCGGGGACAAGATTCCAGCAACCTCTTTTACTGTGAACTCTACGGCGAATTCAGATATAATATCGTTTAAGACAGAACAATCGCGGGTTAGTTAAAGTATCAAATCATTTCATGTTGACTCATATAATATTTATTGTACATATAAAGAATATTTTGCTCGTATCAACTGGTTTTATTCGTAAATTTATAGAAAATTTATCATTGTTATTTACTATACAAAAAAACTGCTAGCTAATCGCGTGGGTTCAAACCCCGTCAGGGAAAAATCGTTGTTTCCTTTTGCTAGAATCTTTGTAACAGTACTGGTTGGTTCCAGGAACGGATTCGAAAGTGTATTTATAAGTTTATAGCTTCCTATATACAATCAAACTAAAATAAATTCTGTATCAACCAAAACTACCATAATAAAAGTCATCGTTTACTTTCCTTTTTGGAAAGCCATAATTAAAGTTTTGGGTATTTGTGGATATTTTATTAAGCATTATGGTATTCAAAACAAATTAGATGATTTATTATTCATGTCTGAACGTATATTCATGCATGCTACAGGTTAAAGTTACTCTCGAAACTAAAGATAGTCATCCGTTGGTGGTGAGTTTCGTCACTGGTCCATTCTTTAACGATTTCTGGCTACGTGTAGTAGCGTCCCCCGATGAGAGGGTTTATGGTCTAGGGGAACAATATTCTTATCTTAATCTCCGTGGAAGGACATATCCTATCTGGACAAGAGAACAAGGTAAAGTGTCATGTAAACATTCCCAGCTTGATATTTCAATCAAGTGATTCAATATACGTTTTGAAATGTTTATCGTTTCCAAAGTTTCCAAGTATCTGATTATCTGGAAAAAAGTGATACATCAGAAGCATTGAAACAGCAAAATTGCAGGACAATTGCAGACTAGATTTTCATTGAGTCTGTACATGAGGGATAATGATAAACACATTCGTCACGGCCTCTTGCACCGGCTTGAGAGGTACTTAATTCTCAAACCTCAAACTTGCTAGACTCAACGATCCCAAAGGACCTGACGACAATTTAAGGACCATGAAAGCATTCAAATGTATCTTAGTAATTAATTCAAATCGATTTAATTACTCACGCTCACGTTGCTCACGTTGATATTGAAGATGAAGAAAGCTAGAGTTTTTCTTGCTTGTCGGAATCTCCATCATGTACATGTAGCTAATGAGCACTTTGTTATATTTTAAATGTCCTTTTTTAACTAAGTCAATGTGATATTTTAGGTGTTGGCAGGAACAAAAGCAACATTGTCACTTTCTTTGCCGACAATCTCGCTGGTGGTGCTGGTGGCGACTACCACACGACATATTTCCCGCAGACGACATTTGTAAGCAGCCGAAACTTGTATTGCCATTATGGCGGCTACAATTACGCAGAAGTCAACCTGCAGCCACCAAACTTTCACGAGATTTACGTGAATGGACCTGTCAGCAGCTTTTACTTCCAGAGCAAGCCTGATCTCAAAAGCCTTGTCGGGTTACTTACACACTATTTAGGCACCCAGCCTAAACTTCCCGACTGGGTCTATACAGGGGCAATTCTGGGAGTGCAAGGCGGAACAGAAGTGGTATAAGAATTGTTGATGTTGTTTTTGTTTTGTTTATTTGGTCGATTTCTATGATGAAACGTAATAATTCATAGATGTATTCTTCCATATTTTTATGTTCTAGCATAATGTTTCCGCCACACATTCTTGAATTTCTTAGTTTTTCAAAACTACAATTTGAAATAACATATCAGAGAATTATAAGTAAGATCTCTATACCACATTTTAACGATATCGTTTGTTGTAGATGTTACAACGTTACAATCAGGCTAAGCAGAATGGTGTTCCGGTCAGTGGTCTATGGATCCAGGACTGGGCTGGTGTACTGAAGACATCGTTTGGTTCCCGACTCTTCTGGAACTGGATATGGAACCAGACCGTTTACCCAGGTATAACGCCAACAGTACTATTTGTAGTATCTTTTAGACAATAGATAAATTTCAAGAAATCTATTCATGCATAACTGAAAAAACTTTAATACTGGCACGAAAATGCCATGAACACTTTTGCTGAACATTCGGTTGACATAAGAGTAAAACAAGTACTTATTCTTGGTTGGTGAAATCGAGTGTTCTGGCATCTTTATTCCGTATTTTTAAATAGTGAATAGTCAAGTCCACGTTAACTATAATTGTAGATTTAGACAACGAGATCAAGCTATTAAAAGGCAACGGAACACGTGTTCTTGGCTATATCAATCCAAATTTGAATTCTAATGGCGACTTATACACACAAGCCGCAAAAGGAGGCTACCTCATTAAAAAAAGTGACGGTACACCGTATCTAACAGATTTTGGAGAGTTTAACTGCGGAACTGTGGATTTAACGAACCCAAATGCGAGAAAATGGTATAAAGGTATGTTTATTTGCGTCATAGAACTCCAGTTTTCATCATTATATACTTATACGTATGAATGTATGACTGACTGACTGACTGACTGACTGACGAACGAACGAACGAACGAATTAATGAATGTTTCATTATGCGTTGATAATATGATGACAGTAATAGTCTGAACTTTATTATCATTGTAAAATCTTTACTGAACAAAGGTGGTACATTCTTGGCGATTTTGTCAAGTAATAAATTATTGACCTTTTTTAATGTAGAGGTGATTCAGACGAATATGATTGACCTCGGTCTTAGTGGATGGATGGCAGATTTCGGAGAATATGTTCCAGCAGATGGCGCAGTTTTCTATAGCAATCAAACAGGGAGAGAAGTTCACAACCAGTGGCCAACGCTGTGGGCTGAAGTTAACAGGAACGCTATAGATGAACGCAACGTCACCGGTGACGTTGTGTTTTGGATGAGGGCTGGATCTGCAGGTATTTTCGCAATTAGTATTATGAATAATACGCCGGTTGGTATTTTCGTGAAAATTTTTACCATCTTATACATATCGTAGTAATTACTTTATCTTAATCCAAACGAATTTGACATTGATACATTTTAACTCATCTGATAATATGTATTTTAGTATTTTAGTATTAGAAAAGGTCGATTAAAAGTTATTTGATTTATTGAATAAACATTTAATTTACATAAATAGGAACTGCCCAGATAGCATTCTATATGGGACCCATGTGGGGCCCATATGGGCACCTATATGGGTCCCATTTGGGCTGCCCATATGGGCCCCATATAGGAAGTGCAACCGGGTTCCAAATGGGTCCCATCTGGGCAGCCCTTATACTCAATATGGGATTCACATGGGCCCCATCTGGGCAGCCCATGTACACAATATGGGCCCCACATGGGCAGCCCTTGTACTAAATATGGGTTTCAAATGGGCAGCCCAGATACTTCCATTATGGGTAGTTTTGAATTCCGGGGTAGATCTATTTTCAATTACTTCAATTAAGTTTGCTGAACGTTTAGATAGCAACCGCTTGCTACAGAGCATGATTCTTGTACTTTCGTTAAATATTCAAGTGATGTTTTAACTCATTCTAGCTGTTTCCTGGAACAGACAGATTATGGCACAAAGCCTTTATGATCATGCAAGAAAACAATACACAATGTATATGCTTTAACAATGTAACTTTATTTAGTAATCTCACTTATGGTAAGTGTATATCATATATATACAGATTCTCAATACATTCTGTGGACGCCTGATGTCAACAAAGAAACCTTTACTTATGTAAATAAACTTAGAAAAGTGTACAATATAAAAATCCGAGTAAACTGTACATATTTGTAAATCCACAGAATTTCATTTTGACTACATAGTTTTTAATTCAAAAATACAGAAATATTAATTATTATTCAAAAAGTCCTATGTAGTAAATATTACTTTGGTACACTAAATAAGCAACATGTAATGGAAAACTGTTTATAATGTACGAACAAAATAATTAACAAGAGCTGTCGGTAGGACAGCAACGCTCTACTATTCTTAGTGCTTGATAGTAAAAAAGATGCTTGATACAGTTACCTCCTCCTGTTTACAGGTTGGGGTCATGATGGTGAACAAGTGTGCAAAGTTTCAAAACCATATGTCAGTGGACTTTGAAAATATTTGAACTATTACAAAACTTTAACGTAAATTCTAACTCGAAAAGGGGCATAATTCTGTCAAAATGCTTGATAGAGTTACCTCCTCCTGTCTACAGGTTGGGGTCATGATGGTGAACAAGTGTGCAAAGTTTCAAAGTCATATGTCTATGGACTTTGAAAATATTTGAACTATTACAAAAACTTAAACGTAAATTCTAAGTCGAAAAAGGGGCATAATTCTGTCAAAATGCTTGATAGAGTTACCTTCTCCTGTCTACAGGTTGGGGTCATGATGCTGAACAAGTGTGCAAAGTTTCAAAGCCATATGTCAATGGACTTGGAAAATATTTGAACTATTACAAAAACTTTAACATAAGTGGTTATGCCGACGCTCGGGTGACTGCAATAGCTCTACTTATTCTTATCGAATAGTCGAGCTAAAAATGCAGTTTTATAACATTAGATACCTTACAGATCACTATAAGGAAAAATGAAACTTATGCTAGACACTGGTTAAACTTTACAGAAGGTCTTTGGAACTCCAAGAAATATATGTGTATAATGTTTAAATTTCAGTGAATCAACAGTATGACCCCAAATGTCTTTTTAACTTTCTACATAATTCATAGAAAAAGTATTATACATTTACTGTAATTCATTACAAATTTCTATCTACCAATTACTTTCATTTTCAAATGATATAGATCTACATCAATTAATATAAAAAGTTGTTCATTACAACCATGTATTACACTTTGGTATGGTAGTTGCTGAAGAAAAAAATGTTATGCAGCTTGTGAAAAGTAACAAATATAATAAAACAAAACCTTGGCACAGTTGTAATACTGTTCATAGATGTGTAAACAAAATATTATGCAGCTGATGAAAAAAAAATAATATAATTAACAAAACCTTGGCACGGTTGTAATACTGTTCATATATGTGTAAACAAAATATTATGCAGCTGATGAAAAAAAAATTAATATAATTATCAAAACCTTGGCACGGTTGTAATACTATTTATAGACGTGTGGACAAAATATGCAGCTAATGAAAAGTAACAAATATAATACACAAAAGGTTGGCACTGTTGTAATTGTCAACAAAATATGCAGCTAATGAAAAGTAACAAAAAGTAATACAAACAAGAGCTGTCTGTAGGACAGCGCGCTCGACTATTCTAAGTGCTTGATAGTAAAAGAGCCTTTATATTGTTTAATTTTTTAAGTTCACAAAAGGGCTAATTTTTTTTTATAAATTCATGTCATAGGCCTAAGAGAGAGTCTAATTATACAGTATTGGCTTGACTATTCGGAAGGTAATGTCACAAGGGTGTTTTATTGAGTATAATAATACTAATTACCTATGAAATAAATAAATTTGACAGAAAAGGTACAAAGGCTTGTTATTAAGATGTTTTATCAAGTAAATCACTGCTTTTATTATTATGAATGCATAAAATTGTCCCGAAAAAGGCACAAACCCTTCAGTAGTTATTGAGATAACAACTTACAAGAAAAACTAAACCATGAATTCCTAAGTTGAAAAAGGGGAGAAAAATCAGCTTTAATGCAAGATAGAATTATGGATCTTTGTCAGTGACCTACAATTATGACCCTAAATGCATATGTGAAGTTTTTAATAAATATCTTTAATAGTTATTGAGATATGTAAAACTTGCATGTAAACATTAACCAAGAGACTAAGTAGAAAAGGGGATATGAATCAGCCTTAATGCAAGATAGAGTTATGGAACTTGGTCAGTGACATACAATTATGACCCTCCAATTATGACCCTTAGTGCATGTGTAAAGTCTCAAGTAAATATCTTTGAAGACCTTTAATCTTTAACCAAAATTTCTAAGTTTCAAAGGGGCGAATAATTCTGTTAATATTGTAGGCAGAGTTATCCAACTTGTCAATCTGATGCACCTTGTAACTATAAATAAGTATTGTAAGTTTCAATTGAATATCTCAAGCAATAATTGAGATATTTGACTTTACAAAAAACTTTAACCAAAATTTCTAAGTTAAAAAGGGGCATAATTCTGTCAATATTGTAGGCAGAGTTATCCAACTTGTCAATCTGATGTACCTTGTTACTATAAATAAGTATTGTAAGTTTCATTTGAATATCTCAAGCATTGATTGAGATATTTGACTTTACAAAAAACTTTAACCAAAATTTCTAAGTTAAAAAGGGGCATAATTCTGTCAATATTATAGGCAGAGTTATCCAACTTGTCAATCTGATGTACCTTGTTACTATAAATAAGAATTGTAAGTTTCAATTGAATATCTCAAGCATTGATTGAGATATTTGACTTTACAAAAAACTTTAACCAAAATTTCTAAGTAAAAAAGGGGCATAATTCTGTCAATATTGTAGGCAGAGTTATCCAACTTGTCAATCTGATGTGCCTTGTTACTATAAATAAGTATTGTAAGTTTCAATTGAATATCTCAAGTAATAATTGAGATATTTGACTTTACAAAAAACTTTAACCAACGCAGACGCCGACGCGGACGCTGACGCTGACGCCGACGCCGGGGCGACTACAATAGCTCTCATATTCTTCGAATAGTCGAGCTAAAAAGGTTGGCACGGTTGTAATACTGTTTATATAGACGTGTTAACAAAATATGCAGCTAAAGTAACAAATATGATACACAAAAGGTTGGCACGGTTGTTACAAATTCTGTTAATAGGCGTGTAAACAAAATATGCAGCTAATGAAAAGTAACAAATATAATACACAAAATCTTGGCACATTGAAATACTGTTTATAGACATGTAAACAAAATATGCAGCTGATGAAAAATAAAAAATAGTTTGTACAAGTTTGTAAAAATCAATAATAATTAAAATGTGATATTACACAAAGATCAAATTTGTTGTGAAGAAATTCATTAAAAAAATTGTCAGTAAAAATAGTTGGTTTATTATCAATTCGATATTATCAAAGTTTCAACAATAACAACAATAAAGATTACAAGAATCATCATTGTAAAGTATTTCAACTTTATTTTAAAGGTTAATACCATATCAATACATGTGTTCCCTGTCAGTGTCAAGTTTTGACAAGATATTATAATTGTATTGATCAGTATCAAAAACATTCCCCAAGCATTTAATGTCTTGATTTAAATAGTAACAATGTTTTTTGTTCATTTTACGCCTTTTACGTCATATAGGCAGGTAGTTTCCTAACCATCGTTTCTGGAGAGTTACACCAGTACTAGACTACCTTACTCCATACAGTAACAATGTTTAATGGAAAAAAAAAAAAACAGCATATAGACAACAGAAAAACAGCATATAATGTCAACAACAAACATAACATAGCAGCAGAATATACTGACTAGAAGGCAAAATTTGACTAGACAAGAATTTTGCATTTACAAGAAAGACATGCTATGCTGATGACCTCAAACATTAAAATTAGCAACAAAAAATATAACAAGATAAACAAATGAGCCGCTTACTGTAGTTCTGACCCTTATCACATTTTAAAAATACCTTGATATTGACTTTCAATCAGTGGAATAACTTATATGCAGATGAAGTAAAGGTTTGAAAATGTAAAATAAAAGTCATTTATTTTATGCTTTTGAGTGCATTACTGATGTATCCGTGAAAAATATATTTGATAATTTCACAGTGAAATGATTAAAATTTCAAACTTTTTTATGACGAGACTACTTTTTAAAGATTTTATCATCATTCAAATTTTTTGAATTCAATAAATAATATCATGGCTATTCAACTTTGATTGTCAAACTTATTTTTCAGCCCAAGACTTCCTGTATTTATGAGAAATTGGACTTAAATTCAACTAAAATTGATGTTAACAGTGGGGAAAACATATTTAATATTAACGTTAATATTGAGGAAATTTCATTAGCATAAAATAAAAAGACACTTTATTGTTTGTTGTGTAAGATGTAATTGTATATCATTGAAGGAACTTTAAAAAACAGTGTTCTCACGAGCGCATAGCCACTCATGAGAATACTGTTTTTAAAGCTCTCTTGATGATATAAAAATTTCATCTTACACACAAACAAACAAATATCCTCTATAAATTTGCATTTTTAAATTAAAAACATGTCTAGTCACTTCCTTCATTTTTCTTCAGGTAAGGTCTCTGACACTTTGTTTCTTGTTTTCCTTCCCCCATCGCGGTCCCGCGCCCCAGCCAGCCACTTTGAAACCTCTATTTCAACATCCTTCCTCGTTGCAGCCTTTGTCGGCAAGTTCCTTTGGACACATTCTACAAAAACAAGCATTCTTATCCTTAAAGAATGAAATGAAGTGAAATGAAGGTATTTGAAACCATTCAAAGGTCATAAGCCACCTTGTAGCATTTTGAGCAGTATAAATTGGAAATATAAACTAATTCTGGTATGTTTTACCAAATAAAGATGTTTGTTTCCTGGTTTAACATAGCTTTTCAAAATATTTCTGTGATATCGCTGCAGTCAGTTGTAAGCTGAGATCATCTTATCGGTGTATCAGTAAAGAATGTTAAGGTAAGCAATAACTTGCTTTACAGGGAAGGTGATTTCTGTTTATATTATGCATCACAACACAATGCATGGGATCAAAATCACACAGCATGTAAAATATTCTCTCTTATTAATTTCCATAAAAGCTAGTCAAGCATTTTCCTTCATTAAAGCAATACCCGAAACACAATAACAAGATCTTGGAAAATATATATCTATTTTGAAGACACGACTTTGCAAATTTGTAAAATATCACTTACTATACAATACATTCAGTATCTAGAGGCCCACAAACTTTTTCTTCCCATTCAGCCACTTCATATTGTACATTCTTGCCAGTTCATTTGACATGGTTTTTTTCATCAAGCGGTCAACAGTTTCCTGTACATCTGCCATACCAAACATTGAGAGGAACCGCACCTTAAATAAAGTAGAACATAAACTTTTTTTAATGTTAATTTTAACACTACTAAGTGATGGGCTGCAAGTCACCAAATGACAAATAATTGTCAACTGGACCTCAAAAACATGATCTGCCAAGAAAACTGTTTGGATTGACAAATTAAAAGATCTTTCCTCATATATTTACAGCCTAGGACAACACCTTAGTGACTTGTGCCTTTATGTTTGTCCCCTTCACCGAGTGTTATGGGGCACATTATCATTGTTTTTTTTTTATACAAGAGTTTATTCAATATCAACAGAATAATTTTTGATAATATAATAACAGCTCAATTCCTGGATTTTGTGGGTACTAGTCATTTTCCTGGTATTTTGAAAGCTGCCAGCATTTTGATTAATGAATTGACTGTCTTGTCCTAATTAATAATTAATGTTGAAAACGAGGTCAACTGCCCATGTCTTGTGCTCATGGCTATTATAGGCTTATTATAGCATATATAATAACATAACTGTGTCAATATGAATCAAAAAATTAAAACATGCCAGTTTTTAATTCTGAAATTAATGCAGCAAAGTGTTTGTCCACTGTGCAATATTTTCCAACATAAATATAGCAGAATGATTATACATTATCATCAAGTGCTCACCACAGACCATTATGTTATTTCGCTTTTAGGCCAGTGGATATGGGGTATACTTTTTTCAGTTACTAATGGAGCAACATACATGACTAACACTATGTTACCACAGATGAGAGCATTGTCTGATCTCCCAGAAGCTTATCGAATGCTTCCATCTGCTCAGGATAACGAATAGGGAATGAGATATCTTTCAGAAGTTGCAGCGGTTGGTCATCTGCTGCTGACCCTTAACAGCATTCGCTGCACCCAATCCTCTTAATTTCACGATTCTTATCTCGCATTGTCTCCAAGACTCGGAGAATCTGTGTAACAGCAGCTGAAAAAAAGGATTCATTATTCTAGGCCATATACACATGTACTTTTAGAGCTATGTGTGGTCTGGATCCATGCTGGTCGCAAACCCATTATGTTGGTTTTGTCATGACCCGGCTCAAATGAAAAAAATCCAGTATTTTAAATTTTTACTTGGCTTTAACAGTAATTAACGCTAAAATCTCAAAAGGATTGTTGAGTGTGCAAGGTCACAAAAGGTGAAAATGATAAGAAATCATGAATTAAACTTAACATATTTTTGAGCCTAGGCATGTCATTTGGTGAAAATTAACATTCTTGACTCTTCCAGGGACCGTAACTTTGGATAACAGTAGTGGGGTCAGGCAAGAATATGCGCACAAATTCACATCATGATAAAGACTAACACAAGTAATCATCAATTTCTTTTGAATATTTTTTGAACTAGGGGCGTCACAAGGTGAAACTTTCCATTTTTGGCTGTGTCACTCAATCCAGCTTGTTATAACATTTATTGACTTGTTTTGAGAATATGACATTTAATAAGTATGTACTGTAATAATAAATATATCTATAGCTCCGAAGTTTATACTTACTGGGCCAAATAATCTGCCCACGGAAGGGTGTATCAGAAGCACCTTGTATTGGAGAAGCACTTTGCACATCACTGCTGGCCTCTGGCAATGCCTAGCAGATAGTCGAGGCGGAGATGAAATCATGAAAGTAGGCTTTGTGACTCTTTGGGCGTTGTTGCTTGGTCAATAACTTTTGGTGGCCTACTCTCTGTGGCTGTCTCATTCTCATCAGTGCCACTATCCGATTCATACAGCCTTTTTGATGGCCTATTTACAATAAAATGAAAATACATTAATAAGTAATTATAAAATACATATACATTAAGTGAGTTATTGCGCCAAGTGACAATATGATTATGACCCGTAATCGGCTGGCAAACATGTACTAGTCTATGTTTACGTACCAAATTGTTGTGCCGCAATTTTGTCTACCAAGGATTTTTAGCACGAATGCGTTTGTTTCCCCGATAGATATTTAATGAACGGGAAGGGCTAAAGACTTGGGGTCGGTCCCATTTGGAAGCTTAATACAAACATGAAAGTGATAAAAGATTTTTTTAATTGTCTGGACAATTGTTTTCACAATGGCCCGGGAAGTGAATCCCTTGCTTGCAGGCTCGAATCTGGAGTTTCTGGCCTTCTCTTAACTTAAAGTATGTTTTTAAAGGGGGGTATAATTTACAATTTTTTTTCGGTTTTTGACTTTTTAAAGATGAACACAGGCAATGACAGGTTTAATTATCTATCGGGTCATATTTTTTCTTCCCAGGTCCGATACTCGTGCCTGTGCAACATAGGGCTTGGTTGGTACATGGAAAAAATACTTGAATTTGCAATAATAAGTATTTGCATTTAATATTTTAAAATGCTTATGAATGAAATATTGGTACAAAATGGAAGGGACTTCTAAGGCTAGGAGGGGTCACTGGATTTCAAATGATGGTGTCCCTATAAAAAAGGATCTCTTAAAATTTAGTCTAGATCGAAACAATATTATTAAAATGTTAGTGTCGACTCCGTCACAGTTAAGTTATTCAACAATAACAACTATACACATCCATAGGTCAGCTAAAGTGCCTAATAGTGGGCGTAAATTCTAGAAAATGTCGCAAATTAAACTGACAAAAACTATCGCGAAATTACATGGCAAAGGCAAAAACAAAAAATAAATGACGTTTACACTTACCTACACACACAATAAATCTGTAAGGATATAATATGAAAGATCGTTATACGAAATCGTCGTTAAATGTTCCGAATTGAAATGAAATATTGTTTTCGTGTACAATTTTACAATTTAACGTTTCAATACACAATTTGATTTTAAGCGGCAGCGGAAATCACGTCTGCGCATGCTCGAAATAAATTTTTCATCAAATGCTGATTTTTATAAATTATTTCTGAATTAATAGTCTAAAAACACATTTTTATATTTAGATTATAAAAATTAAAACCAATATAAAAACTAAACAAATTAATTTCTCGCACCTGCTCAGGCATGCTAATATTTATTGGGTTGCCCGAATGGGACCCGTATGGGTCCCTCATGGCTTGTATATATGTTAATGCTACGATTTTTATAAAAGATAATAGCAATTTATGCCAAGGTGGTCACACTGTAGCTCAAAGTAAACAAGTTCTAAAGAAATAAATAAACGAAAAATCGTTTTTCCTTATAGTGCTGTAATATGGGACCCATATGGGTCCAATATGGGCGTACCCAAATGGACTTGCCCATATTGGTCCCATATAGGTCCAATATGGGCATACCCATATGGGCTTGCCTAGATATAGCCCATATGGGTCCCATATATGCATGTTTGCTGGGTGGGAAGTATACGACACTTATGTGGGCCGGGGACCAAAATGTCGACTTTAGTTACGGTGATGGCCTCCCTTCGACAATTCCAGCAGCTTTAAACATGGGAATGTCAGGAATCGGGATAACCCATTTCGATATAGGGGGATATACAACAGCGGCACAGTTTCAGAAATTCGGACAAGCTTTAGTCCGGACTGAAGAACTTCTGCTACGATCTGCTGAGGCAGCCATATTTACGCCGATGTTCCGCTCTCATGAAGGTAAAGTATAGTTATAATTAAATACTTAGTCATTTCTCTCATTGCTTTCTACATGAACTTTTGTGTATTTTTGTTAAAGTTCGTAAATCGTACAAAAAGCTTAAAGCTTATTGAATCGGTCTTGAGTGCGCTTCCACCGTTCCCCTTGCACAAGAAAATTACATTCATCTGCTTTTATTTTAATTTTCTAGATTACATCACACGTGACATTTATAGGTTGTGACTTTATCTTAAACTTTTTTCATTCAAATTTGTTTATAGGAAATCAGCCAAAAGCTAACGTTCAGTTTTACACCAATGACTTCATAGAGAAGAGTTTTGGTCGGCTTGCTCAAATCTTTGTTCATATTTCAAACTACACCAAAAGTGTTGTACGTGACAACCATGATCTTGGAATCCCCGCACAGCGGCCCTTATTCATGGAATTCCCAACAGACGACATTTCTAAGAGCGTATCTTATCAATATATGTTTGGTTCTGACTTGTTAGTAGCACCTGTAATACAAGGAAATGTTGAGACAATGAATGTTTACTTGCCTCCCGGAGACTGGAAATTTATTTGGGACAAAAACGAATACAGTGGCCACAATTACTATAACGTTACAGCTACAATGGGAATGCCACCGGCCTTCTATAAGAAGACTTCCGAGTATGCTTCAATGTTTTCAGAGATCCAGACAAAGTTCCCACCTCTTCCTCTCCCACCTGCAACAACGACTAGTCAACCGATAACAACCGGTTCCCCCTGTACGTCTGGTAGCTCATCAAGTTTAGGTGGTGTTTCAATCTCGCTAATCGTGTACATGTATCTCATTTGTGTCATTTTGTGTTTTTCGCCCTTGAAAAGTTTTCTTTAAGTTCACGAACTTATTTCAGAATATGTAATTAATGAAATATACTCGTACATGACGATTCGACTCCTCCATGCCTAATTACCTACTTATCATTTTATATTATTATTTAGCCTTTCTGAAATCAATGTTCCTATGTTTTTGCATTCAGGCAAAACAATGAATAAATACCTGTTAAAAATACATATACATGTAGAACTGGGATTTTTTTTTCAAATTATTTATTTGTGTTTAAATTATAAAGAAATACATGTACAAATTTTGCTTTATGATTGCTATTATGCACCCTCTTAAACATACTGGGATGAGGATAGTCAGTCTGTCCGTAATCCTATTATCTATGTCCGCTCGATTTCTTGGGGAGGCCTATAGGTCGTGGTTAATGTAGATTATTAGATCGAAAGTCAATAATGTTATTATGTATATCATTTAATAATTGTCATTCTTCAATAGAAAACTGCTCATACATTTACAGAAGTAAACATGCACTAACGTATAGATTCTCGCGACCACAGGCCGTTGTTGCACGTTTTTTAATATGCATGACACAGTGCGCCAATGCAATAACGGCAACGGCAGTTTCATTATCAAAATTTAATTTAAATCATTATTTATTGTCAAATGACATCGTACTAGCACGTGGAAACCATGACAAAAGGGCTTCTTTTATACGGTATAAGTACTCTTACCATTATCATTCTGAGGAAACTGTCAATGTGTATTTTAAAACAGATTATGTTTGCTAGACATATCTTTCAGTCATAATTACCGAAACAGACATTACTTTTCAGAAATCAAACAAATACATTCGTTTCTTTTTATATAAAGATTACATTATCTTTCTTTTTTATTGTTTTTGGTAGAACTATTTTCAATCACATTAACTCCGAGATGATTATGTATAAATTTGCGGTCTTACTTACTCCCGGCAGAGCCCAGGACCAACCCGGTAAGTAACCGGGATGATCCGGGACGATCCGGGGTGAAATTATTGTTGCAGTCACACTTACCCCGGCATCACTACGGTAGTTCCCAGCTAACCACCCAGGATGCGCTACGGATCATCCAGGCAGAGCCCAGGTGAAGCTACGGTTCATGCCGGTGCTTCCCCGGTCGTTCCCGGATGACGCCGGAAGAGCCCCGGTTGACCCAGGCAGAGCCCCGGTCGATCCAGACAGAGCCCAGGACGATCCAGACAGAGCCCCGGTAGAACCGCGGTGGATTGAAAACGCCCGAAAATGATAACATTGATACATAATTTTTATTTAATATAATATCTATTGCTCCAGAATAGTAATTCATGATGATTTTCTGAAAAATCCTTATGCCATACTGGATAGAAGGGAAATGGGAAGGGTTTTAATACAAAGTCCAATCATCGCAAATTGTCGTTATTCTTTTGAAATGATCCGGGCTTTGCCGGGGCTCTACCGGGATCATCCGTAGCTCTACCTTTATCCTCCGGGGCTCTGCCTGTAGTTATCAGGGCTCTGCCGGCATATGCCGGGGCTCTACCGTAGCTCTACCGTGGCTCTACCGGCTATATCATACCCCGGATCATCCCCGGTTTGTGCCGGCAGAGCTACGGTGCTTTCCCGGTATAACCCCGGTCGTTCCCGGCAGAGCTAAGGATGAAGACGGCAAAGCAATACCTTCTCGGATCATCCCGGACCACCCCGGTGATATTAAATATTTTATTCCATCCGGGGTCGAATGCCGGATGTTCCCGGATCATCCCGGACGTTGCCGGGAGAGTACGGATGTACTCCGGTTGTTCCCGGTCGTACCCGGATCACCCGGACGTCTACCGGGGCTCTACCGGGGATCTGCCGGGATGTAAGTGAGACTGTAGCTTAACGGCGAAGTGTTCCGAATGATTAGTTTGTGTTAAAATCTGTAAATATTTCTGAAAGTTGTGTACAATCTTTTTTTTTTTTGTTAGAGCGCGAGACTTGTAATCTCGACATTGTGGGTTCGATTCCCGGGCTGGTCAACTAAAATTACTAAAATCAGTCTTTCGGATGAGACTTTAAATCGAGGTCCCGTGTATGGGTGCTTAAACACTTGGCACGCTAAAGAACCAGGAGAAGCTTCTGGAATTGGGGCATCTTTCTGTATCTGTAATTGCACTATCCTCCAAAAAATAAAATGACTAATACTCTTCTGGAGGACTCGCCCATATGGGCAACCGGTGGCGAGTATAAATAAATGCAAATACACACAAAGTACAATCTTTTAAATTTCATCACAAAAACATTGGCGTCAATGAAGTTGCTTTATTCTGTGAATATGATAACACTGCAACGTATGATAATAAATATGCTGAACAGTATGATAAGCTTTTTATTAAGTTTCAAGTTGTTGACCATTTAAAACTTTTAACTACAGTCAGTTAAAATTGTCCCCTGCACAGGGACGTCAGTGAAAAAAAGAATTAAGACAAAATAATTAAGACAAGAAAAAGAATTCCACATACAATAAGGTCTACACAATATCATTCTACAAAGCACAAGGGTAAATTTTTGCCCATTGACAGAAATTTCAAAAATAAAGGTGTATGTATTAATATGTCCTAGAAAAGATATGTCTTCATTTTAAAAAATACCTTTTTTTCAAGGACAGCAAATGCAATGGATACATATACTTTGAAACAAGGTATTCTCCATTTCACATAATAAAAAGTAACTTTAAAGTAACTGGATAAAGTGATTCGTCGAAAGCAATTTCACATTTTAAGTCCTGAATCACACGATTGTTACATTTATTTCCATGTCGATGGAATGAAGTAATGATAAAAAGCAGACGACAATGTTCACGTGTTGAAGCAGACTATGTTCTAGGCGCGTTACCAATTCCAAGTACAGTTTTGTAAGCCCCGGTCCCATATTTTCCAACTGAAAAAAAGAAGAAGCAAAAACATGTCATAAATGTTCTATATAGTTTGTAGAATGAAATTCTAACTTCAATTCATACATTTTACATCTAACATACGATTGACTAAAAACTTTTATCACATCCCTGTGCCGCTTTTGTGACTCCGTAAAAATTGTATGGCACGGCCGTGCATATATTTTGGCGTGACGTCACTTGTGTTATAAAACATAGCGTAAGTATGCGCTTATTTAAGCAATGCGCTATGGGCGTGTTATTGAAAAAAAATTGTTCCTACTGTAAAAAGTTCTTATTTTGAATATGTGATAAATAGAATATTGTATTCGCCTAGGTTTATTAACTCTACTAAATTTATTCAACTCGTTCAATTTATTCCGTATTGAACCGACACCCAGTCAATATAGATCTTTTTAATAACTACTAATTTTTAATCTTACGCGACGTCCCGCATAAAATATGTAGGTATTGTTATAGATGGTGGTGATTTATAAATAATACAAATATAGTATGAAATGCATATCAACTACGGAAAGAAAGTAAAATGAAAGTATTTGTTACACGAATGTCAGTGTTAGTAAGCCACTCATGGTAAAGACATAAGGATTTTAATTGAAGCAAAATATTTTATTTTAAATGTGTTCTTAATGTACCAGAATTTCGTAAGTAATATATATTTTGTCCTGCCAGGCATTTGTCTGAAGTGATTTAGTTGCAATAGGCGTGTTTTGGCTCATAGTGAGTTATAAACATATCAAGGTTTCTGTTAAGACTAAAAAGTGAGTTTCAAAAACTGCAAACATATCATTATTGAAACAATTGTTATACTATTTCATGCAATATAACATCAATTGTTAAAACTTGATTATAACTAAGTACAAAGTCTTGAATTAGTTAATCAGAAATAATAAAAGTTACAAAATGGTTGCTACTTACAATGATTTTTGTTAATCACACATTAGCAGCAGACACAACATGTTCAGCAGACGACACATCTAAAGCGTACTGCTTTTTAATGGAAAATAATACTTACTTGTGCCTATACTTACACTGTGACGGTTTAGCTTTATCCAGTACCCAGTACCGGAAACCCTCACGTGCGCGTTCATTTAATGTAGTTTTCATAAGATGCTTGTGCCTGCTAGTCGGGTTATCTAAAATTTCACGGTTTCCGGTGAAATAATCTAAAAAAAACAAAGATTGGTAGTTTATTTAACAAATATTTTCTAATTATTTTTTCAATATCAGAATTAATATTTTATTTTTTTCATTGAAGTTCAAAGCTTGCATGTCGTCCTTCTTAAATCTTTTTTTATAAAAAAAAGACATCATTTTCTTCTTAAGTCTCGTCGATATAAAATCACAAAACCTTCATTTCAATGGTTTGTTTGAACATACGATCTTTCGAATATAATTAATTTGTTCATTGACAAATTATTAATCAACTTACTGACAACAACTCTGTCCGGATGGAAACCTAACTTCTTTCCGCTAAAACTGTTCTGGTATGATGTTCGCTATATACAATGGAACAGGAATTGTCAACAGTAAACTAATGATTACAATAGAATGTCAAATTAACAATGTAATGGTGGGTGGATGGATATGTGAACGGACGGACGGGTGGATGGATTCCAACGCTATTATCATATACAAATGCCATAAATAACATGTATTTCTGTATATTATATGTGTTCTCCCGCAGCAAAAGAAATCAAATACATTTATATTCCTGCTAAGTCAAACACATATGTGTATTATTACATTATATGAATTCCGCTTAAATCTTCTTCAGCATGAAATCAACCCCTATTTATATTCCAATAATGATAAAGTCATATCTAAGAAATTGTGATATATATTTTGATACTAATATGAAAACTTTGTTATATTTAAATGAGTCTTACCCAGACACTTTTCATACTCTTGGGTGTTTCATAATTACTGTGCCTCGACCAGGACCTCAGTCTGTAAACAAATTTCATTCCATGAAGGAGACTTATACCATTTTCCCTGACAAACTGACTTCATTATTCAAAATGTCAGAACTTTGTTACTTCAATTACAATTAGAACATGTAGAATGTGATATGGATTTTTGTATTCTCAAAATGAAAACGAGGCTTGACAGAGCATGATATGCATTTGATAAAGATATTTTGATTTTATTTGACTCTAAAAATATAAACTACAGTGTAAATAAAGTGAAGTTGCAAACTATTATTTCATCGCACAATCAAATAATATTAATTAAATGAAAAAGCAGTACATATACAAAAACTCCGCAAAAGTAACACATCTGAAATTGTGAAATGTTATAATATACTGTTAACGAATCATACTGTAAGTAGTGCATTGTTAAGGTTTCAGCATAGAGGCACACATAAACTGTTGTTGGAATATCTGCAGGCTGCATGCCTCAAGACGAGCCAAAATATTTCAAGAAAATCAAATTTGAGAAAAATGTAATAAGATTTTATAAAATTAAAAAAGATCTAAGTAAAAATTTACATGGTATGTACGATCAATGACTGATTTTGTAGTACATGTATTTATGACCATATTTCTACTGCGTTACTAAAGCAGTAACGGCTATTTTGGCATATTTTGACCCTTTTTTGGTAATCTACATAGATTTAAGGTTCAGTTTGCAATGTGTAAATTACTTTCTTTGTTCACTTGACAATATTTTACTTTTAAATACATGTTCAAAATTTTCATGACTCTGGAGGCATGCTGCTTTAAACATACTAATCATGTTTTTAAATTGATAATTATATCTGGGGATGTTTATTATATCTATTTTGATTAAGTATGTTAAATCTCATTAACAAGTTTTGCCTAATAATCTTAATAATCTTAGCCAAAAGATTTTAGTGTATTTGATTACACTAATTTTAGCCAAATCGGACAAAAGCTGACCACGCACATGGTATAGTTATTCTGCTTGTATTTTACTTAAAAGGACTTTTCCATTCTATGTTGCATTTGGAGCTTTTCCATTTTTCCAAAATAACCCTTCGATATATCAGATATAGCTCTATTATGGATTTTGTTTAAAAACAGCACCTTAGATAATAAAATGATACTATATGTATGTATGCTTTGAATGGCCACATGCGAAAATCCCGAGTACTGAATATACAAAAAATGCGAGTTTCATTGTTGTACTTTTTGGCAAACTATTTTAATGTTGACAAAACAAATGTTACACAACATATTGAACATCAATCATGTTAGTGTTAATAAGGTTAAAGCATCAAACGGTTAATGCATTCCAACTACTCGAACCTATCCATATCTGCAAAGTAAGACATTGACGACAACGCCATAGTTGTCTCCCTTATTTCTCCGGAATATATGATATAGTTTAGTTGTACAATTTCTTACTTCAGTCTTATTATCTGAAAAGTACAATAAAAATGCACATGTCTGGGTTTCACCAATCTGAAGAAATGATATATGTTGATGATGTTCAAATTCTAATAAGTTTCAATCATGGTGCTAGTATATTAGGTCAGTGACTTTCCATAATATTTCGTCTACCATTTTCATGCCACATATATTGCTAAATTTGTTAACGTGCACTTGTAGGTCACATGGTATTAAGGATTGTCACCGCTGACTTTCAGTTTCCCGGAATGACACGCATGTCACCCTTCATTTTCAAGTCAAAAGTGAGCAATTTTTTTCTGAAATGTTATATCTTTTATAACATGCAGTATATTTTGGATTAATTTTACTTAACGCATATCACCGTTCACTTTTATATCTCATTTTCAAAAGTATTTTTACAAAGGAACACTTTACAAGTCTGGAATTTTGGCAACGAACGCCCTCCATATTATCTTGTTACTATACGCAAGTCACCGTTCACGATGAAGTATTTCGTTACTTTACACAAGTCACCATTCATGTTTTTGTCTCTTGTTACTATTCGCAAGTCGTCGTTCACAATAAAGTCATTTGTTACTTTCAGCATGTTATCGTTCACTTTTATGTTTCTTGTTACTTTAATCATTCGCTAGTCACCGTTCACTTTTATGTTTTTGTAACTTTACGCATGTTATAGTTTAGTTTTATGTTAAGCAAGTCACCATTCACTTTTATGTCCTTTATTGCTTTACGATAGTTACCGTTCACTTTTATGTCTCTTGTTACTTTACGCATGTCACGACTTTTTTCCAGCTTTATTGGTGGAGGAAGACCCCAGGTGCCCCTCCGGGCATTATTTCAGGCACGAGCGGGCACCTGGGTAGAACCACCGACCTTCCGTAAGCCAGCTGGATGGCTTCCTCACATGAAAGATTTCGACCCGAGTGAGGATCGAACCCACAGTGGTGAGGGACCTGTGATCTCAAGTCAGCGACTTTAACCACTCGGCCACGGAGGCCCCTTTACGCATGTCATCGTTCACTTTTATGTCTATATACGCAAGTCACCGTTCACGATGAATTCGTTGGTAACTTTAGTATGAATGTGTACGTTAACGATAGATCATTTTAAGTCGCAGTCATTTTCATGTAACATGTTACGTGAAATATATCGCTGCTCATCTAAATGTATGTTATGTTTCATGATATCTACCTCTCCACCCAGGGAGAATGGGTTCGAGTTTTACTAAGCCACCAGTATCGTGTTTCTTTATATGCCATTTGTACTGAATAGACCATGGAGTGGAATTATAAGATTTGAAAAAAGTGCTTCTAAATCAAACGCCTAAAAATGTCGGTAAAATGTTAATTACTATTTCAAAATGTCGTGAAATATTTACTTTTTACTAACCTTCACACACTTAACAACACATTTTAAAAGTTCAGTTTTTTAACAAAATATCAATCTGTATAGTACATAATATTTTAAAACATGTATTCATTTATTTGATGAAGGATAAAAAGGTTACATAGAATGAAGAAAAAAAATAAGAAAAAAATGTGTAAAAGCAATTAAATTAATAGGTAAAAATAAAATAAACTGACTTACAAATTCATTCTATCCAACATAGTACCACCGGATCCGTAATCACAGGACATAATGTAAAGTTTGGCTCAGTTTCACACTTATTTTTATATAAATTAGGATTTAACCTTTGCTTTAGACGCTATTCAGAAGTTTATTATAATTTAAATGATCATTGTTTTATTTTATTAAATAACCATAACAGATTGAATCACTCTGACTCAAAATAGAATGTACGCGGTATCTTGTTCTTATACGATTACAAGTACCGAACGCGACTGCAACAAAAAAGAAGATTTTTTTTTATAAATTACCATTAAAATCTGACTTGAATATTTATATTGAGGGTAAATTCTCTGCGAAAAAAACAACAAACACTTTAAATGTAATCGTCAGACGAATATTTAGACTTGTTCTTAAAGTGTACCATGTTGGCAATTAACAAGAAAAAAAGCGAAAGATAAAAAGATGTACTTGACAATATCAAAGTTTGCCGCAGAGAGAAGTACATCAATGTTCAGCACATTATACCTCAGAAACAACGTAAGCTTTTCTTTATTTAGGAAGGGCAGACATGAGTTTTGTAACGTTTAAATAACGGTTTTAGAGCATACTATATGTCTACCATCTGCAGAAGAAGTGCTGAATACAGTATAAAATTATTAGTCATAAAAGTAGTATTTTGACTTCCAAACAAAATCCTAAAACAATATAACTTTACTTACCACTAAAAAGTAACAGAAGCTATAGATTGCCTGGTTAAATGACCAACTATTTACCCTTTGAAAAATTAAAAGCTTTTAAGAAATAATAATAAAAGCATTTCTTAGGCATAATGGGCCTTTAATGCATCAATATGGAAACGTACAAAACGCATTAAATACATAGAATTTTAGATGCTTTATAATGTTTGATATAAGAATTCATTTTCTCTTCATAAAAATGTTCTATAAATGTAATTACAATAAAAAAAATACTAGAATGAATGATAAAAAAGCTGATGTTGTTTACTGAACGAATCAATATCTTAAATAAAAAAATATGAATTAAACGCGTACCAGTTAACCAACAGTGATTAATGTTTGTGCATTATGCATTAAAACAAAAGACGGCTTAACGACACAATGTTTGTATTGTCTTACAATCATTTAAATTTAAAGGCTTAAAAAGTTCTTTTGTTTCGCGCAGCCATATCTATAACCGATCTTTGATGGGCTTTTAACTTATTTAATATACTTCATGGATATATAATTTACGATCTTTGTAAAAAGTATAGTGATAATACTGTTTATATTATTAGATACACTTAATTCAAGACGTATATTTGTCTGTAGTTATGTCTTACCGATATGAAACATGGCAGTATTTTAATTTACCTTCTCTATGTGAAAATAATAGATTGAAGGCACATTATTGCTCTTGGAATCGATTTTTTTTCTTCTGTAGAAATGACAAGCATGATTTTTTTTAATCATCATCATTATTATCATCATCATCATCATCATCATCATTATCATCATTATTATCATTATCATTATTATTATCATTATTATTTATATTATTATTATTATTATTATTATTATTATTATTATTATTATTATTATTATTATTATCGTTTAATACATGTAATGGTTTTAGAACAAATAGGACAAATTGGATGCTTGTTACCCGAGAAAATAATAGTATGTCATAAAAGTAGCAAAATGTAAACAAAGTAGTATTATGAGTTTATGACTTCCATACAAAATACTAAATCACTATAAATGTAATAATTGCCGAAACGCAACAGAAGAAAAAGACAATTCAGGTAAATGGCCAATAAGTAACTTTTTGGAAACTAGAAATGAACTCCAAAAATAAAATAAAAATTCTTGAAATAAAAATAAAATCTTTTCTGGAATATAAAATGGGCCTTTATAACAATTTGCTAGACATTAGTAAAAATGAGTTTGCTGTAGGTCTGATATTAATCACAATGATATTCTGCAGTTAACTAACATACACTTTGAATTTCAATTGAAAATGCAAGTATCTAAGTACATGTTGCACGTTACAATATTCACAGTTGTTGGTAAAAAGCGACCTGACTTTTGTATTTTGGTTTCTAGCGACGTTGGTTTTGCTAGTGGTGATAATTATGATAGAGGTAATAGTTACAAAGGCGACAAAAATGGAGACGGTGATGATTATATTTATGATTATTAATATGATAGTTAGGGTGATGGCAATAAAAATGATGACGGTGATGTTGGTGATGCTGCTGCTGCTGCTGCTGCTGCTGATGATGATGATGATGGTGATGATGATGATACTGATGACAATGATGACGATTATTTTATTTTGAATGGTTAATTCTAGTGTCTCAAATCATTTAGTGGTTCCTGCCGTTTGCAAACTCAAAAAGAAATCCTCATAAACAAACTTTTGGCCAAAGAAAAGAAAACGATATCAAATGTACGTGTGGTTGATTTAATTTCTGTCAGTTGTATACATCAGGGTAGGAAATAGTTGGTATAAATGTTTATCTTTACATGTTGTATATTTGTATATAGTGATGTCATTCATACTGAACAATACAGTTAAGCTCCTCCTTTTGCCGGCCTACTCATATATAGTATTACATGCTTGATATAAATACACATTGTTGCCTGGATAGATTTAGATATAGAGCTATTAAAGAGTATTACACGATTTCTTTTTGTGTTTAACCACTCCTTTCAGGATTCAGTAATCTATTGACAGTATAGGTCATACATCTTTTTTCATAGAGAACTCATATACGACTGTCACAGGGTCATTTGTCATTATATAAAATTTGAACATGTCGGATTATTTGATAGTGGTGTAGACTGTCATAAGCATTTATATATGTGTTAAGTTTAACCAAAGCTCCTGATGCTCCACTTTTCTGTTATTTCCAACAATTTTTACAATTATATGTACATGTAAATATCAGCAGACACCGTTGTCATTATCGGCCAGAAAGTGGTCAGATAAATACAAATATAAACCGAAAAACAATATACTATTGCAGGAAAATCTGGTCTCAGTCATGCACTTGCTTGACAGCTATCAACCTCTGTTTTGCGGAAATATGCACTGCAACGCGACTACAACATATCGTGCATAACAGCGTTAAAGATGGTTAAGAGTTGACAATTGTATGATATGAAGAGAAATAAAATTTATTATCAGAAATGAAGTTCTAGAACTGACAGAATAAGAGGTTGTCCAGGTGAGTGGATTTTCAAACCTGCAGTTTAAATTATATCATGTGCATATTTCACCACAGATTTAATTATGTTAATTTTTTCTCCGATTTAACTTGGTCTTTAACATATATATGTACCTGACTTAAAGTTTAAGCATTTAAAAGCTAGTGCAATCTATCATAGAAGCATGAGTGTATTGTTTAACTATTTTCTTAACTTTTTTGAAGTTTTTCAAAATTTTATTTAATTAGTCTTACAAATATTTTTATAACGGACAATAGTTTAATCTAATCTGATAGAAAATTTAAATATGATATTTTAACAAATTTATAAGGCATTTAAAGTTTTAACAAATTATTCCCATCAATTTGTGTGGTTATGTTCCGTTTTGTTTTTTCATGAACTTTGGGTTCAATAAATATTTCATACTCGGATGTGTTTGGTTATTTCCATTGGAGAAAAGGGGGATTTTCGCCGATTCTTTTCATAAATTACAAATGAAGTAGAAATGGAAGGTTTAATTCCTGTTATTAACAAATTACAAGATGTGTTCAACACTGTCGGATCAGAAACAATTCAGCTGCCGCAAATCGTTGTTATTGGCAGCCAGGTAAATCCCTGATTATTTTTTTCTTTCGTTTTTGAAATAACGACCCGGTGGGTGGGGAGCCGCAAGACCTTTGCTGTCATTTGAGGTTATTTTAGTTATTTGCTACTTATAACAAGACAATACAAGTTAATTTGACATTTCAGAGTGCCGGAAAGAGCTCAGTGTTAGAAGGTTTGGTTGGGCGAGACTTCCTGCCCCGTGGTACAGGGATAGTGACAAGAAGACCGTTAATTTTACAGTTGATCCAAATTACAAAGGATGACAAAGAGGCCAGGACCCTTGACACTGGAGGTATAAATGTGTCTTTTAAACAAGAGAGATTTAAAGAAGCATGCATCCAGAAGATAACAGAGAATCAAATTTTGTACTAACATTTCAATTTGGTTTTGATTTTTTTTTAAATTTTTTTTTACACAATTTGAAAGAAAAGTCTTAGAGAATTGCGGAGGACTGAAACACACTGTTTATTTTTGTTTATTTTGCAAATTCTGTCTCCATGATACCTCCAAAAATTGCTGAGTTTGACTTTGACAGTTTCTTGGCGATTTTCCTCCCAAGTTCCTCTATGGGAAGGAGGGAAATGTACATTCTGCGCGAGCTGTACTGTATCTGCAAGCAAATGGCTTCTCAAATTTTTATGTTTAAATACATTATTGCAATCCACCTAGTTAACAGATAGTACAGTAGTACAACTTGCAAATATTATGATAATTATAAAAAAAATGGAAAACTAATGGGCAGTTAAATGTTTAAGGCTAAAAATGATACTTTCTTATCTGTGAAGTGTTTTTATGTATATTGTAAATATTGACAAAAAGTGACTGGTTACTTTAAATTTTATTAGAAGTTTGGTTGTTGAACTTAGATAAGTCATGAATCATGAAGTAAAGAGAAAGTCTTGATTTTCCTTGATGTATTTTTAATAGAAACTTTTATAAAAATCCAATTTTTTTGTGAAGAACCATTTATATGGTCTGTATAGAATAATTCTAGTACATTTTACTATGAATAAAATAAAAGTCAAAGTCCTTTGAATTAAAACATCTTTGATTCTGGGATATTTTCTCACCTTTTCTGGCTACAAAGATGATAGCCAATTAACTTGTATGACAGGTATTAAGTGCTCTGGTCTTGTACTAACTGCCTATAATGTGTGAGAATATGATTTGATCGTAATCTCTGAGTCTCTAATCATCATGGTATATTTTGAATATCAACTACTATGAAACTTAACTAATTTGTTTCACCACTGATTATCAATTGTAGTATGATTAAGTTATTGCCCTTTTCTTCTGCTATTCCTGTTGTAAGTTACTTGAAATCTAGATTGCCGGAAATTTTGTTAGTGAATTAAGCTCAATTCATCAGTCAAAGTCCTGATGTCTCAAAGTTTTTATACAAGTCCTTAGAAACTTAGACATACCAAGGCCATCCTTAAAAAAAATGTTTGTTTGCAGTAACCCGACCCAGAATTTTCAAGGTGGGTAGGTAGGTCGATTTTTTTTTTTTTTATTGAACTGTACTCCCAAATAAACATGGAATTTCAAAATGCTGGACAAAATATGCTTTGATAATCTGGTAACAATTAATAAATTGATAACTGAATTCTAATTTAATAAGACCTACATTTTATTTCTTCTATTAACCTTTAAAAAAACGAAAACAAAGCACAAGGCATAATTTTCTGATTCAAAAAAGATTTTTTTTTATCCAGACCTTGAAAAAAAATTTTGAGTAGGGGCAAATTTTGTGAGTCGGTCGCGTTACTGCAAACAAACACTTTTTTAAGGATGGCCCTGAAAGTTCTTCTGTAATGTGAAAAAATAATATGTTGATTTCAATTTTTGTATGTTATCTTTATTTTGTTTTGTCCTTAGAGATCATCAAAGCTGAAGAATGGGGGAAATTCTTACATACAAAGAACAAAATTTACACAGATTTTGAAGAAATAAGAGAGGAGGTCAGCAATGAAACAGAAAGAATGGGAGGTACAAACAAGGTAATAGAAGTCTAAGTAACTTAGTTGAATTTTATTAATTCTTCTAAATTCTGAATTCTAACATTAATAATGACAGGCCTTTGTCACCAATCTAGAGCATCCAAGAATTCTTGCAAGACTGTAATATGCTTTTTTATGGTGTTGAAGGTCCTGTAAATGAATCAGGGAGTGGGTCATATTGAAAGTAAAACAAATTCAACCAATAAAATCAGCAGACCTGGGGATGATTACATTGATCAGTAATTGATTTAATTACAATTACTTTCAGATTTTATTGTAATTGATTACAATTGATTACTCAAACTTGCCTCTGTAATCAATTAAATTACAATTACTTTAAGAAAGTAATTGATTGATAATTGATTACATTCCATGTATATTTATAGACAAAAGTTTCTTAATGCTATTTAATATATACATGTACATTATATACACACAGGATTTCCAGCTCATCAACAGTCATCAATTTAACACACTTATAGTTACTGTCACATCACTTTATCATATTTTAGCATTGCACTTTAGCATCATAAGTTCATGAAACCGTCTTGTCAGTCAGGCTGCATCTATCAGGATGGAAAATTTTACCCGCAACACTAAACAAACGCTCTATAGGGGCAGATGATGCAGAAATGGTCCTCAGTATTCTTGGTGTAGGTTTAATAATGAACTCTCTGCAACAGAAATTTTGAAGTGTCAATTGTACAGTATGCTGTATACAGGTGTTAAAACAGGTGTGAAAACAATCAATTTTTATATGGGAATTCAAAGAGACAATAGACTTTACTTAGATTAATTAGAAATTATCAATTTTTTTACAAACACTTCAATGGTACAACAGCATCCATTATAATATAGACACATTGTCTATCACCTTACAAAATAAGTGTTGCATATAATTAAAATATGGTAATATGCATCTTACATAAACTCTAGAATATACAAAGTAAAGAAGTTATCTACATTTTTTGAAACTTTTTAAAACATGGTTTAACCAAAATATGTGAAACAAAATTTAACATACCTTTATGTGGGTAATGAAATTTGAATGTGGCTTTGTGTTTCCATTTATTTTCCTAGGGCACAATTTGCACTGTGCTGTCACATTTCCAGATGTTTCTTTAGGAAATTCAAAGACATCATAAATCCAATGATTTGACATTTTGGTTAGAATACCAGCCAAACAATGATGTCTATCTTTCAGTTAGAATTTGGTTAATTGTATGGATTAAAACTTATTTCTTCATTGTGAGTGATGTCTTAAAATGTCACACTTGATATTTTACTACCTTAGTTAAACTGTAACATGTGAAATAAATCATTTGAATTTCAATAGTTTCATGTAAAAATGAAAGTAATCAACATCAATCAAATTGTAATCATAATTACTGACTGAATTTAAGCTGTAATTGATTAATTACAATTAATGTAATCAACTTTGAGCAAGGTAATCAATTACATGATGATTACAGTGTAATCATGTAATCAATTAAAAAATCGATGATTACGATTAGTGATTACCCCAGGTCTGAAAATCAGAAGGGCAAAGGTTACAGCAGATAATGAACATTTTGAAGTTTTTTCTGTATGAAAAATTGGTCAGAATGATCTTAAATTATACCAATGTAACATAGCAATTGAAATGTGTAGTTCTTACTTTCAGGTAAATAAAATGAGTGCTTAAAAATGAATTATAATCATTAAGTCATTTACAATAATGAAGAGAATTCCACCATGAAGTTTGAATGTGAAGATGCTAGACACTTGGCTTTTGAAGGGTTGTCTGATCGTTCTACTCGGGTCCTTTTGCCTAAAATAATGCACAGCCAGCAACATGTGGCATTCCTCCAATGAATTTAGAAAGTCACCTTATGTCCTCATGTTTCCATAAATTCTGAGAATTTTTCTATACTTACAGCTTCAGAGCTTCAGATGTTCTTAAAATCCAATCAGATGTACATTGTATATGTCTGTTAGAATTGCCAGCTAAAGTAGTCCTAAAAATTTAAAAGGAACTTGTTAAATCAGTTGTGATGCATCAATTTTATTCACTATAACAATCATATTTATTTCACAATTTACAGGGCATATGTTCAGAGGCAATCAATCTGAAGATATACTCACCCCATGTGATCAGTTTGACATTAGTTGATCTACCAGGTATGACAAAGGTACCAGTAGGGGACCAACCATCTGATATAGAAATGCAAATTCGTGCAATGTGCATGGAATACATTGGTAATCCCAACTCAATTATTTTAGCCGTTTCTGCAGCAAATACAGACATGGCTACATCTGATGCAATGAAACTGGCCAAAGAGGTTGATCCTGATGGTAAGTTGTTCCATTTGAGCCGTGTCACGACAAAACCAACGTAATGCGTTTGCGACCAGCATGGATCCAGACCAGCCTGTGCACCCGCGCAGTCTGATCAGGATCCATGCTGTTCGCTATCGTTTTCTCTACTTGTTATAGAGTTTGTAAGCGAATAGCATGGATCCTGATCTGACTGCACAGATGCGCAGGCTGGTCTGGATCCATGCTGGTCCCAAACCCATTATGTTGGTTTTGTCATGACGCTGCTCAATTTTGATTTTCTTGAATTATCAAAATTACGCAATATCTACAAAATGTATTAGTGATTTTTATACCCCTGAATCAATACATCTGGAGGGCATAATTTTTTTATCAGTCTTTCAGTTTGTTTGTCTGTACATAAATTTGACCTTGACAATAACAGGGAAGTCCTGTCATTTGCAGTCTCAAAACTTCATAGGCCCATACAAGTTGAAACATGATCAAAATCTGTATCTTTTCCTTAAATTGACTGGTCAATCCAAAATTTTCATTCTCAATTTAAGGGATGTCAGGTTGAAAATTTGAAGTTAGTAGGCTAACAGTATGAAGCATGGTCATACTGCATGGACATGCAGGCTGGTAATGCTTTATGCTGATGGTAACGGAGAGAAATAGAAAAACCCCTTGTCATTAACAATCTAAATAGCTTTCCAGAAAGATTAATAAATGTTTATTTTCAAAGCTGGCACTTTTGATATAATGATAGCCCCATTTTATGTTAAAATGCCTGATATTTTTGTCACATATATATTTCTTATGCACAAATGCTTCCAGTAATTACAAATGTTTTTTTTCAGGTCGTAGAACATTAGCAGTAGTAACCAAGCTGGACTTAATGGATGCTGGTACTGATGCCATGGAAATACTTTGTGGTCATGTGATACCTGTGAAACTAGGAATAATTGGTGTAGTTAATAGAAGTCAGGCAGATATAAATAAGAGAAAAGTAAGGCTATTTATCATAATTGACCTTTTTGTGATTTTCTAGTGCCATTAGCCACTTTTTTAGCTATTTGCTAATATTTTACCAATAAGACTACTGAAATTATAATTTGACTAACAGATTTCTTTTTAATGATATGCTACTAAGTACTTAGATAAAATTTCATATGCAGTCAGACATCAGAAAGAAATTTTCAAACTAGGGTTAACGCTGGCCTTGAGTTTTTATGGCTCAAAGTTCTGTGGAGCTATTTTTAAGTGTGAATAAAACATACTTTTAACATATTGGTAATTCCAACTATAAAACCCACCATACTTTTCAAAATTTTAATTAAAATTGCAAAATAGCATGAGTGCATGATGACATGAAAAATTGCATAACTATTGTAAATGCAGACCTAAGGTACACAAATTGTTATTCATATGACATAGGAATTAATTCTAAGATACAACAATTTGTTCAGTGAAGGATACTTTTTGAATGAAGAAGCTGTACTTATTTGTTCCAAGCATGAAATGATTTATTAATCAGTTAGGTATCATATTTTAACAAACTTCTAGTACTGTATAGGTGGATATTTCTGGGTGTTAGCGAATTTAAATTCCAGACAATTCACATGAGGAAATATTAGCGAATCATGCTTGGGTAGAATTTAATGACAGGACTGTTGATATTTATGCTGGAGGAAATTTAAGCGATTTTCATCACTTCGCAAAATTCGCCAATATTTTTGCATCACTAACTATAAATACAGTATTCTGGGCACAAGATGTGTATTGATGTTACTGACATCATCCAGTCTGGCTTTTAAATGTTTTCAGACATGAAATATATGCATAACAACCAATATCGTTAATATTTACATTTAAAATGCTGAATTAGCTAATGAAATGATTGTGTATTATCAGGATATGAGAGATGCATTGAAGGACGAGGCCACATTTCTACAGAAAAGATATCCTAGTATAGCCAGCAGAAATGGGACAGCACATCTTGGTAAAACCCTTAATAGGGTGAGTATGCTTTAATGTAATTATCTTTGTAAAGGCAAATTGGTTTTAAGGATGGTTTTGTTATGAAAAAAAGTAAACAATTTATGATGAATCTTAGTGACATTATGCTGATTTTTTCATTGTCAAGTTGAGCTGAATTGACCATAATAACGAAAAAAAAAATGGACTGTTTTATTGGTGATTGACAAATAGTAGCATGTTTTATGGTATAATATTCACCTAAACTATTCTAATATGAAATTGAAATTGCCATGTGAAAAGGTAATGCTTAAAGGCTATTTTAAGGGAATGGAATAGAACTTATACAAATAATTTTCTTTGTATTTCAGTTGCTGATGCATCATATTCGCGACTGTCTACCAGAATTAAAGACGAGGGTGAATGTTCTCATAGCACAGTTCCAATCACTGTTAAATACATTCGGGGAACCTATTGAAGATAAGGTAAACAAACTGTGATACTTAAGAAAAAAAAAATTTTGGAGCGCAGTTGTTCTGGATTTTGGCGATTGAATTTTATCAAGTCAGAGTTGTTGAATAATAGATCCCTGTTCCCTCCTCCCAAAACTGATAAATGTTTTGCTTATTAGGTTGAAAGATGAAAAATGTTTACTTCATAACATGAATTTGGATTTGTATGTTTCAATTTTTCTAAATGAATTGATATTTTCAACATCAATTACAATATTTTCAACTTAAGTTACACTTCATGAATAATTGAATATTTGCTAAAGCCCTTATACCATTGTTATACAAATACAATATACAGCTTGTGAAAGATACATGTACTTAAACAAACAATTTCAAAAGCATTGTAAAGTGATTATTAACATGCAAGTTTTGTTATTTAGATAGAGCAAGGTCTGTTATTGGGAAAATGTTTACAGACTCTTATGTTTTATTTTTCAGTCATTTTAATGTTTTTAATTTCTATTTCAGAGCCAGTTACTGCTACAGATTATTACAAGATTTGCATCGGCTTATTGCAGCACTATAGAGGGAACATCCCGTAATATAGAGACTACTGAACTGTAATTAAATTATGTTACAAATAACATTCATAGAACCGACACCCCAGTGGCAAAATTGTTAAGATAGTCATGCAAGCAGTTTCCACTTGCCTTTTTTATCTTTTATATGTAGCTTTAGGCTCACATCCTGTCTGTTACTACAACTTTAAATTTCAGAATCTAGGCCTCGGTATCCAAAGCTTGTGATTTGCTTTCCCATTAGTTGTGGTTTTAAATCCTGTCCATAGTGTAGTGCAGGTGGAAATTTATAGCAGCTTAAGCCTGAACCAATTAAATTAAATAAAAAACTGTGAATCACAATTGGTTGAAGACCTAATTTAATTTAAAAGTCAGAAATACATTCAAGATAAGATACATCTTGTCAATATCATACTTACTTCATAAAATAACTGATTATATTTATTCTTAATTAACAGGTAGAAATTGAATGAAATGATAATAGATACTTATGTTCTTAGTATTGAAAGGAGCTCAGCTGAGGCACAAAAGCCTAAAAACATAACATTTGAAATTCTTACATTTTAAATAAACTTTTCGAGCATTAAATTGAAAACCAAGTTTTAGTGAGATTTGAGTTATTAGCATTTATACACTTTTCATTTTTTGTTTATTTTGCATAATTGAAATGATTATTCTGGCAAAACTTTTGTGAGCAAATTTGTCAAGACCTTCATGAAATAATAAAAAAAAGTTGAAAACATTCCCAGTTTGATCTTTTTAAAAAGTCTCAGTGGAGTCCCTTTACATTATGGTCAAAGGTTAGATGAGACAAAACTTGTAATTATATTTTTCATTTTCCAGGTGTGGTGGAGCAAGAATCTGTTATATTTTCCACGAGACATTTGGTAGAACATTAGAAACTATAGATGCTCTTCAAAATCTTAATACAATGGACATTTTAACTGCTATACGAAATGCAACGGTAAGTTATCAAGTGAAATGTTGCTAAAATGTAATATGGCCTGGATTGTTGAATCATAAAAGTTGCTCAGATCCTTACTAGTATGGGTTTTAATCCTTCCTGGTGATAAATTCTGTTTAATCCTGCCTGTTGATATATTCTGTTATTGTCTGGTTTAACTGTTTCCATGGTTACTGTAGTTTCAAAGACTTGTTATTGCATCCATCTTACTTATGTATATCAGGTTATTTTCCTACTGGCAAATTTTGCAATTTTAGCAGTAATATAAAAAACCTAATATACAGTATTTGAAGCCAGATGCAAGTCCCTATAAATTCTCATTTTGAGAAGGAAAGTTTGTCCTAGTCAATATGTATATTATCACTTCAATAGAGTTATCATATACAAAACCAAACTATAATATACTAGGGCTGTATATTGTCAGGGTACAAGCGATACGATTCACGATACAGAGGAGCAATACACAAATCGGTTTGCGATACTCCAGTCCTGAATGGTTGAATATTTAAAATGTTTTGTGTCAAACTATCATATCTTACATGAGACTTTTATAATAATTCAGCCATTCTAATATATAGCAGAACACATTTACAAGGGACACTTTCATATCATGAACATTAAAGTAGTAATCTATAAAATATTCTTACAATATGAACATTCAGATTAAAGTTTTATTTTGAACGTACATGTATTTTAACATGTTTTACTAAACGATCAGGTTAAGTTTCAAAGGACAGGTTATAATATGTCAATGACAAGAAACAAGAACAGTTTCAAAATTATAACTGGTTAGAAAGTTTCTGAGACTTACTGTCATTTATAAAGTCAAGTGTTTCTTTACAAGCTAGCAAAAACACTTGTCATATTGTGTTTAGTTTCATCGTATTAATACTTTTTTAAATTTATAGAATTAAATATTTATTGCCATTATAAACTTACGGTACAAATAAACATTACGATTATTTCATTCTCGGTAATTTTTCGTGTTGAAGTTAAAGCGAAACTTCTTGTTGCTAGCTTTACCGCAGATGTTTATTTTTTGATATATAACACGTTTCGGATACGCTATGAAAATACGATGATTATTTTAAAAAGATGTTTTATAAGCTTAATAATAGGATTAAAAGCAAGACCTATATCAGAATTTCTCTTTCAGTTATGATTACAAAAAAATGCGAATTTGGCGATACAAAGTGATGCGAATATTCGTGTCCGAAATTCAGGCCACTTTCGTGATGTACCGAGAGTCCGGATGTTCGTTACAGCCCTATAATATACATGTAGTAGATATTAAATTAAAATAGTCTTGAACATAACAGATTACATTCGTTTGTCTAAATGTAATTGTAGGGATTATAGTGAGGTTAGCCAAAATCGTCTTTCCTGTTTCGGCACCATATGACCTACATGTAATTGTGTTGGTGGGCTGTAAAACCAAACAAACAATATTCATATATTATTTAGTTGTTGATGATTTTCAGGGACCTCGTCCAGCACTATTTGTACCTGATATATCATTTGAGTTGTTAGTGAAAAGACAGATTAAAAGATTAGAAGAACCAAGTTTAAGATGTGTGGAATTAGTTCATGAAGAAATGCAGAGAATTATTCAACATTGTGGAACACAGGTATTATATACAGAATTGTACATAGGTCATCAAAATATACAGAATTTTACATGTATTTTAGGTAGTTAAAATATCATAATTGTCATAGGTATTTCTTAGAGTTACTCTTGGCATATCAAATTTTAGAAGCCTGTGGGGTTAAAAGATTGCCTGTAGGCTACCTACCCAAGTATCTGTTCATGCCTGCAATAGTGCACTGATTGCCACTTTTGGTCTTCCTTTAGGGAAGTCATGGTACAGCTATAATGGTGCATAATCAAGAAGTGTCTCCATTCCGCATTTCCCTCATAGCAACAAATTAACACTTGCATGTGTTTTTTGACATTTAGAATTTGCACCAATGTATTTGATAGCTTTAGAGGGTTAATGCACATTTTATTGTGGATTTACATCTGTAACAACAGGAGACCATTTAAAGCCTGAGCCTACAGGGTGAGGGATTTAATAAGTTTGAGGAATTCTCCTGATGGTACTGTATGTTTTTAGAGTTTGCATGTTAAACTTGACAAGTGTTATTAAGAATTACAAATATTTTATAACTTTCAGCAGGAGATGTTGAGGTTTCCACGACTACATGATAAGATTTTAGACGTTGTTACACATTTATTGAGGAGAAGATTACCACCTACAAATACCATGGTAACTCATAGCTAGCCTTTCTGTATTTGTTTATTAACTTCTTTAAAAATGAGACGAGAAAGAAATTGTAGATCAAAAGTAGAATATATCATGATATTACATAGTGAGAATATAATCTTGATTTTGTAATCTTATTACATGTTGATAAGAAAGTTAGGATTTTGTTTGCGGTAATTCAGGTAGAGAACAAAAATACACTTACATTTAAAAGTGTACACACTGAGAAAACAGTTCATAAATTTTTTTTTGTTTAACTATTTCATTGTTTATTTAACACAATTACATACCTACCATGCATGGAAAATTTAACAAGAATGGAACACCAAAAAAAATTTTTTTTATGCATTTCAACACATATACTCTTCAATTCAAATTTCACAAAAAAGACTGTTTTGTAGACTTTATCTTTCACACCAATTTATTTAGTTCCAGATGTATTGCTAAAAACATGAAACTGTACAGTAGGGCAAAACAAACATGAAAAGTTGATACATTAATTGTTTATTTATACCTGCTCTGGTTTGCCATAGAGCAAGGTGCCTGTGGTTCTTCCTACCACTCATTTTATTCACTAGTTTGAGTGTTTACATTGTTACAGGTAGAGAATATAGTTGGTATAGAATTAGCCTACATCAACACGAAGCACCCCGACTTCCATGAAGCCCAGATGGTGCATAGAGCTGTTACCAATGATCATGATGGTATGAAACAGCTACAGAAGGAGATGCAGCAAAAAGTTTACATGCAGCAACTTGATGACAGGGAAAATAGGGTATAATTAATCTCTCAGATATAAATATAACTTTGTAAAAGTAAGCAATTTAAAATTTCATTATTAACCACTGAATATATGTACTTCACACATATTTGTAGATCATTTGTATTTGACTTATTTTGAACTTATTTTTGGGTTAAATCTTTGCAGGTAAGGTTTTTCTCCTCATTAACTTAAGATTCCCTTTTTGGAATATCACATATTCTGTTATCTTTAGGGTCTTGATTGTAATATCAGTAACTTAAGCTTGGATTTTGACTGAATTACAATGCATGCCTCTTGTTAATTGGTTAAACCGAGTATTTCATTGTTAAGTTTAAGTATTTAAGTTTAAACAGCAGTCATCCAGACTTGTGCTAATTTTTGTGAAAAGTAAAAGGTAACGTTCTACTTAGAAAACTTATGTCATGTGTACAAATAAAATGATGATGATTTACCGGTACATTAGATTCTAAATATCTCAACATGGCAAAATTATGTAGAAATAACCCTTGCCACATTTTTAACAGTGTTATTATAATATCAAAACTTGTGAATATTTTATGTTTCAGAAACTTGAAGATTTGAAATTTTGGTTACTCCTCACCTGGAGAGGTACAGCTGTAAAAATTAAATTAAGTAATGATTATATTATTTTTTCAGTCACAATCACCAACGAGAGCCGACCCTAATGCTGGAAACTGGAAAATTTCCAATTTGTTAAGAAATAATCGGAGTGAACCTAGTGGATCTGGGGACTCTTTAGCTGTTCCGCCTGGCTCTGAACCTCAGTCACAACCTGGTAGTAACCCAGGAAGTACCGTTGCCTCCCCAGCCCATGGCAGAAAGGGATTAAATCTTCTTCCAGAGGTGGTAAGAAACTATACTTTCTTAAGAATTTTCTTCAAACCACTTGCTCCTCACTGCTGTGTCTTCGAATCCGGACAGGAACTTTGGATTCTTTCATGTGAGGAAGCTATCCAGCTAGCTTTCAGAATGTCCGAGGTTCTACTCAGGTGCCCGTTCATACCTGAAATAATGCAGGGAAAGGCACAGGGGTCTTCCTCCACCAAGTTGGAAGGTTGCCATATGACTTATAATGTGTTGTTGCGACGTAAAACCCAATCATAAAAGAAAAAAAAAATTAAAAATTTTCATTCTTTAAAGTACAGTTTTTTTTTTCTTTCTATGTGACAATAGAAGATATGAGTGAAAAATCATTACATTAATGAACATTCTTAAGTGTATTGTAAAGTTTAAATATCTGTAGCTAATGTTCTTTGAGAATCCTAGTATATATAATTTACTGCTGATATCTTGAGTTTGAATTCAAACTTCATCATTAGCAAAAATTTACAGGATTTTTATAGTATTTTTATGTGACTGATGCAATCCAGATTTTGAGAGTAAAATTTAGATGTGTTTTATTTAGATTGTTTAGTCTTTTTTTTATAATATTCTAAGGAAATTTTACAGTCTTATAGAAGCATGGCATATTTAATGTTGTGAACATTTTCTCAAAACAAAAATGAAATAAAATATATTTGTTTGAGCTTTAAAAATCTATTTTTGTTTAAAGTCATAATGAATATGTCATGCCTAAATATATTATACAAAGATTTTATAGTCAGTTTAGTCAGGTGTAGATACCCTTTAAAAATAGATAAAATTACACTCTAGATATATATAAGGGATGTTTATTATTTTTGGGGCATCTGTCGCCGAGTGGTTAAGATAGTTGACTTCAAACCACTTGCATCTCTTCACTAAAGGTTTGGATTCAGACAAGGACTTTGGATTTTTTTGTGTGGTGAAGCTATCCAGGTAGCTTACAGACTCTCAGTGACTCTACTCAGGCGCCAGTTTGTGCCTGAAATAATGCACGGAAGGGCACCTGAGGTCATCCACCACCAGTTAAACTGTAACGTCACCATATGTCCTATACTGTGTTGTTGCGACACGAAACCCAACCAAAATGAAAAAAACAAACAGAAAAAACATGTTTATTTTTAAACATCCACCTTTTCTAGTTGCTCAAACTTTTATAATTTCAGTTGATTAGTATAATGATGCATATTACATTTATTTTTGATGAAATTTCAAAGAAAGATGGATGATTAAGATTTTGGCAAGGATTGATCAGTATTGGAACATTTATATTGATGAGCTAAGCAGATTAGTATAGTAACAAAAAGTTGTGTCATTTGGTCAATGGACCTCTAATTTGTGACTCCAGAGTGATGTGAGGTACACTGTCTTCTGTGATGCTGTGTTTCCCATCAGTATATCTCACAGCACTTGTCCATCTCTTGTGTTTTAATATGTATATGTGGAGAAGTTGGCCGTTACATGCTGAAAATGGGCCTTAAAGTCAGGCAAGAAATGTCTCGCTCTGGACATAGTTGATATTTGCAAGTATTGGAGTTTTGAAAGGACCTTAAGTAATGAAATATGTTGTAAAGCTTATACTTTTGGAAAATTTCAGCCGTCACAACCACCAAGTAGAAAATTATCTCACAGGGAACAAGCTGAATGTGATCTTATCAGTAAGTGGTCTTTCTTCCAGTGTTCTATAAACAAGATTAAATATCAGTGCTATATGTTACAAAGAGAAATTGTAAGGTATCTGGTTAAAAGGGGAAGTGATTAATCAACAAAGAAATATTTTCCTACATGATTTGGTAACTTATTATTATCAAGCATATTTTAATGTACTGAAAAACTGTAAAGAATCTAATAATAAAGTTGATACTGAAAGAAAGAGGAAACATAATTAAAGAATACTGATTTCATCTATTAATTACCATCCTTTTTTAAATGCACATGAAACCTATTGCACTGTGTTTGTGATATTTTTATTGCGGCCTTCAATTTAAAAACCCTATTCTAATTGTTTTGGCCCACTTTTAACCATCAGCTTACTGTATAATGTAAGTATATGAGGCATATTATGACAGTTTACAAGGAAAAATTATTTTCATTTTTGAAGGTACTATTTACTTAATTTTTAATAAATTTGATCAGGGAAACAGAGCTTTTTAACACAACACTGATATGAAATCTTGTTTATTAGATAGTTAATTGGATTTGACTTGATTATTCAAAAACATTTAGCTTTGTTTCAGATGTGCTGACCATGATCAAAGGGCAGGATTTTGTGAAAGGAAATGTAGAATGTGAAAATTTGATATAGATAAAAAAATCATTAATTTATTACATTTACAGCCCAAAACTATACCAGCTAGAAAATTAACAAGTAGGGAGCATAGAGATGTGGTACTAGTAGGTATGTTGGCAGAGACAACAAACAATTTTTGCAAAAGATACAAACAACAAAGCTTATTTTACATCATTAGTTTATGCACGCTTGGTAAACTGCTTCCCTTTGCATATGATGTTGTGTTATTCTGCATTTATAAATACATCTTTTTTATTATACAAACACGGAACTTACAGAAAACACACCAAAGGTTTTTTTATTTGGGAGGGGGGGGGGTAAATAATTAGAAAAATATATACATTCCTATGTGTGTGTGTGGGAGGGATGGAGGGGTTGGATGTAAAAGCCTCAAAATTGTAATACTTATTTAGAAAAAACATGTACATGCCTGTTTTATTTTTCTACTGCATTTGTATTTTAGGCATATGTTTGAATTTTGTCTGTATTCAAAGAAAATTTCATTTTAAAAGTAGATTTACCAGAATTTACAGTGACATTAGTCTCAGACTTGACGTCATCCTTTTTATTTGAATAACTTGTTTTTCATACTGTTTAAAAGGATTAAAAAGAAAAAGATTTATCACATAATCCACAGTGCAGGAGTGTACAAACACAAATACACACCAACCCAATTTGCGCGGGTAATAATGCAGTGTTCGTTGGCGGGAAAAGCAACAAATTATATATTCTTCAGTATTTAGAGTAATTCTTCTGGGAGATATTTTCTTCTATTTTTTTTCAATTGAGCCACATTTATACAGAAATGATAATGACTAAATTTTGAAATCTTACAACTGAGATCTTAACATAAATGGACAAAAGTATTTACTGAATACCCTTCGTAATAAGGCCATTTGATGAAAACAGTATTACACTAGTGTAATAACAATTTGATGTGATGTTATTTGTGTTATATACAGACATAGCATAAAAGTGTGCTAAAGTTATTGTTACACTATAGGCGTGATAATAGTCAAATTAAATAAAAACTCTGAACTGTTAACCATTCTTATTTTAGATATGAGAAAAGTTGATAACAGAATATTGTATTTGTGAGGAGTCAATACTTAATTTACTGAACTTAATGAGTAGATTAATAATAGACTCGCATAATATGATGATATTCAACTTGTTCAAAAAATTTATTATTACATTTGTATTAATATAAATATTACATTAATTCTTAAAACAATTGGGAACAATAACTACTTTTTAAATGATCATCATGTTACATTGTATGTGATATATTTATATTGTAATTTGTTTAATTTCTGTTTATTTCTTATTTGCTATTGGGCTTTGCATGCTGTTAATGTTAGTTTTACACTTTTGTTAAAGTGAATTGCAGATGGCAAAAATACCCCCAGTAAAACACATCAGAACTCATTAGGATTGAAATAAAGTAAAACGATTAGAAATATGTAAATTCTTTGCCTAGAATGACACTGTCTTTGAAACAAATTGCCTTTGAAATATATGGAAGGGATTATCCGCTACTCTAATTAATATGAATACATTGTAATTAATATGAAGATATTTTTATTATTTTGAAGACATTCTTATTGATAGGAAGACATTATTATTATACTGAAAACATTGTTATCAATATGAAGACATTATTATTAATACGTTGTAATCATTGTGCAATATTAAGATGTTACACTTGCTTACATAACTCGAGTTCTTATTGAAATATGCGAACATTCAATTTACATTTCAGTTCTAAGGCTGTAAACATGCAAACTATAATTAGATATTTAATTTGCTGGCTTTCAAATATTTTTCCTTTATTTGAATTTGCTTTCTAAAATTTATTTGACACACATTTTATTCTTACAGTGTTTCAGTATTTATTTTACAAAAATCATCGTAATTTTAGTCCCATGCTGACATTGTGTATTATGTATTCGAAACAGCAGTTTGCATAGCACACTAAGAGTTTCGAAGTATAATTCAAAATTAGTTAGGTTTTTGCGGTAGAATTGGCCCTTTTAATCAACGGGGAATAACTGGTAAAAATGTAAAAAAAAATAACCGCTCCCTGACCGGTGTTCACAAATCTGATACTACGAAAACTAATCCGATCATGTGGAGGTTAATGACTACCAAATATTTCCCCCTATATATAACGTATAGTAAAAAGGCCAAGTTTGAGGCAAAATATCTCAAAATCCGCCGCATACAGTATGCCACATGCATACCTTTTCTGAAAGATCTTCAAAAATGAGTTGATTTAAAGAATAAAAATGATATGTTGCGCATTATGCAAGAGAGAACATGTTCGTTGTTGTTGTATATAAAGCTAGTAACAGCTTTTTATCACAATATTTGATCTGATCTTTTCCATGAGGTGATATTTACGTCTGCACCGAAAGGGATCAATTAGTATTAAACAGCGACCTCTGTCGTAAGAAAACGCACTACTAAAATTGGTTCCCCGCTTCGTTTTTTGATAACGTTAACATTGTTATGAAGACGATTTTGTTTTAATGAGTCATTGTTAAACGGCATTCTATACTGTGAATGATGTTTTGATTGTTTTGATTAAATGTTGAACATTTATTACAAATGAATTAACACATATTCGGTAGCGTCCATATACCAAATACCTAATGTTGATTTTAATGTGTGATTTTGAATATATATTTTAAGGGAAATCATACCAATTTTCAGAATGAAACAAGAAAAACGAGTATAAAAATAAAATTAACGTTTAACAAAGATATATTTCAAAATACCTTTATAAATTATAAAGATACGAAATACACTAAGTCTTGAAACCAAAATCTAACATCAAATTCACTATCGCAAAAGTAAAAACGGAAATTGGAATGTCATAAAGCATAATAGGTGAACTGGCGGATAATCCCTTCCATAGAAATACACACTGAGATGTGAAAGTAGTACGAATGTATGAATGCATCTTTCATCATGTAAAAAATATGAAGAAAAGATTCAGATAGATTTAATAGAGTGTTTGACTATGAATTTAATAGGTAGAGTGTTTGACTATGAATCAGGATATTCACAGGTCACTGTTGTTGTGATCTTTCTATGGTCATTCCCACTGTACCTTTACTCTGAAATGTACAGAAGTTATCAGTTCCTTGCATAAGTGTAGGCAGCTAGTACTGGTTAACTGCTTGACAGCCTGTCCAGGGACAATGCGGTGGCTGAACTGTGCTCTTTAAAATTTAGTGTGGTTTACTGCCATGATCTGGTGGTAAACTACCAACACTACCACCACCACCACGTAGTTTGATAGAATTAAGAATTTTTAGGAGCTTCCATTTTTATGCCCCCGCCATGTAATGGCCGGGGCATATAGTGTTACCCTGTTCCGTCATTCCGTCCTTCCGTCCTTCCGTCCTTCCGTCCTTCCATCCTTCCGTCCTTCCGTCCTTCCGTCATTCTGTCATTCCGTCATCATCAGTTTCCGTTCATTATCTTAAGAACGGTTGGGCATATTCAACTCAAATTTGACATATGGATATGTCATGAGAAAATACAGGTCAAGTTCGAATTTGGTCATGGTTCGATGATTTTTGGCAGAGTTATGCCCCTTTTACTTTAAAAATAATATGAAATTTCAGTTTCCGTTCATTATCTTAAGAACGGTTGGACACATTCAATTCAAACTTGACATATGGATATGTCATGAAGAAAATACAGGTCAAGTTCGAATTTGGTTATGGTTCAATGATTTTTGGCAGAGTTATGCCCCTTTTACTTTGAAAAAAATATGAAATTTTCAGTTTCCGTTCATTATCTCCCCAATGGTACAACACAATCAACTCAAACTTGACATATTGATATGTCATGAAAAAATACAGGTCAAGTTCGAATTTGGTCATGGTTCGATGATTTTTGGCAGAGTTATGCCCCTTTTACTTTGAAAATAATATGAAATTTTCAGTTTCCATTCATTATCTCCCTCAAGGTACAACACATTCAACTCAAACGTGACATATGGATGCGTCAAAGGAATGCGCAGGTCAAGTTCAAATTTGGTCATGGTTCAATGATTTTTGGCAGAGTTATGCCCCTTTCACTTTGAAAGTAATATGAAATTTTCAGTTTCCGTTTATTATCTTCCCAATGGTACAACACATTCAACTCAAATTTTGACATATGGAAATGTTTTTGGAATGCTCAGGTCAACTTCAAATTTGGTCATGGTTCAATGATTTTTGGCAGAGTAATGCCCCTTTCACTTTGAAAATAATATGAAATTTACAGTTTCTGTTCATTATCTACCCAACAGTGTCACATATTCAACTTTAATTTGACATATGGATATGTCAAAGGAATGGGCAGGTCAAGTTGGAATTTGGTCATGGTTTGATGATTTTTTGGCAGAGTTTGTCTCTTTCACTTTGAAAATAATATAGATACATCTTAGGAATAAGCAGTTTAAGTTGGAATTTGGTCATGGTTCAATGATTTTAGACAAACTTATCTTTCCTGAATGTTGGAAAAATTTTGAACTTTCAGTTTCACCACTCATTCTTTTAGCCATTATTTTGGCTGCAAATATGCAATATGCTATTTCTAAAAGGTTAAGACTGAATAATTTCAGTGCCTTGAACATTGTATGGAAATGGTTTGTGTTAACATTGAAAAGTTTTAAGGGCTTTGAACTTAAAATGAAAAAAATAATTAATGCACCATCTGAAATTTTGGCTGCATGCGGGGGCATCCGTGGCATGATGACACATTTCTAGTTTTGTAGTAGATGCAGTTTCATAGACACATTAATTAATTACATTAATAATGAATAAATGATAAGATATGATATTAGGATGATTTTGCTTTTAGTGTGTATTATGATTTCATTATGACTGTGATCTTTTATTTACTTAGCTGCAGATCAAGTCATGTAGTATTTTCAAAAGTAAATTTTATAATAAAACTTAAAAATCTAAAGTTTTATTCATATTGCAAATTTACATGTTCAGGAAGACATGGTCGTCTCTGTTCGGGAAACAAAATTACATGTACTAAGAGGGGGGAATTCAGGACCCTGAGTAGGAATGTTAGGGAAAAGTTCATAACATTTTTTGAATTGCAAACAGTGCAGACCATGATCAGATGACACTGATTTGCAGGCTGATCTTGGTTTGCACTGGTGGCAGGCACGGATAGTATCTGTTGCTACCAGTAGGCAAAGTGTTAAATTTACAAGAGCATTGATACTGTGTTATTTTAGTTTACAGCTTTGCTATTTTTTAAATGCCAGCATGGGGGGTTTGTGGTACAGTTATTTTTATTTGAAGCATTAAAGAAATATCAGACTTAACTAACTGTATAAATTAACAGTATTTATTGTCTTGATTTGATGATATTAAATGAGTAAGTAGTAGATTTGTTTTAATATGAAAATAGGTTATAACATAACATAGTTTTGGGAGCATCACTTTGTTCTGTCCCATCCGGTTCCATCCCAGTTTGGAAAACGGTGGAGATATTTATTATAAACTTGTTTTTATCAGTTTGTTTAAAGCAACAGAAGATAGGCGAACCAATATAGTGTCAGAGATACAAATTTATTATGTTGCCTGATTCTTTGTAAGTGCTTTGTCTCCAATTTTTTAAAAAGTGGGATTTTTATATCACTGAATTTGTTTGAATTCCTTGACAGTCACGTTTACTGTAATATACATAAAGAAATACATTTTTGATTTTGAATTGGATCTGGTGTGATTTCTATATTCAAACTAACATAAAACTAGCGAGGATTGTGATTTAATTGACATGGATCCTTGTTAACATTTTGTTCTATCTTCACTGCTTAAACATATTTATCTAAATAAAAATGCTATCTTTGACTGAGAGCAATATAAAGGTCAAAGGTGACTATAATTCTGACCAATCATATTTTGTGAAATTATCACATGGTCGCTGCTTGTACTAAAAAAGAAATGCTGTAAGTCCTTTGTTAGTAAATCTTGAAGTGTGTTATTTCCACGAGGGTTTAAAGATAAAGCTTTATTAATACCATACACATTGAAGAAATATAACACATTTGCTGTCACTATATATCCAAAGCAAAGCACACAAAACTATGGTAATAAATAAAACAAAAAACATACATTCTCACATTTAGCACATTTTTATTCCCACAAAAATTATGTTGTAATGCTTTCATTCAAGCAAACAAGCAAAATTGATTTGTAAATTGTTTGGAACAATTTTCTCAATACTTGTAGAGCTATGCTCCACTCATAACCATATTTGTTTTGTTATGGATACAGAGAATACATGATATTATAGAAAAATTGGCACAAATGTATTATAATGGCACTATCATGACAAAAGGTACAAACACTCTGTACAAAGTACATTACATTATGGTGTAGTTGTTATCAGACATATCTTTTAAACTTACTTCTTGTAATTTATCGTAATCCCTTGAAAAAAGGGATAGAAGTTATTTAATATTGACATTTTTTTGGGGGGAAAAGTTTTAAATTTGATACAAGTATTTAGTTTCTTAGCTTTCAGTGAATTGTTCTTATTTTGCTGACTTATATTTTGTGTGTGTCAATTTCATGTGGTTTCTTTTTGTTATTCTTGACTATATTCACCTAAAAAAACTTACTTGTATCTATGTATTTATACAGAAAAATGTGATGAGTTTGAAAACATAAAAATAGAACACCATGAGATGGTTAATTATGCTTTAATTTGAGATTTAAGCATAAATCAAAAGTCATGTGCTAATATATTATTCTTTTATCAACCAATAAGTTGTTTGATAATTTGATAGATATGGTTTAATCATCAAAATTTTACTACTTGAATTTTTTCAGAAAAACTAATAAAGTCGTATTTTATGATTGTGCGGAAGAATATACAGGACAGTGTTCCGAAGGCAATCATGCATTTCCTAGTAAATTATATAAAGGACAACTTACAGAGTGAGCTAGTCAGGCAGTTGTACAAGAAAGAGGAAATAGACATGTTGCTAGAGGAGTCGGAACATGTGGCGACACGCAGGAAGGAGGCACAGGAAATGGTTCAGGTAAGAATTTAACTGAACATACCAACCAATTTTGTTTATCTGATGTGAGTCCTAAGATTTGATGTTGTGGTTGGTCATGACCAGTAAAAGACCGCTATTGAATATGGGGTCAAAAGGTCAAAGGTTTCTAATGTCATGCCAGAGTATACTTAAGGCCTACAGTCCTAAGATTTGAAGTGGAGTAAATTAGTCATGACTAGTAGATGACCCCTTTTGAGGTTATTAGCTCAAAAGTTACACTGATCTCGTCCTTTGTAACCTTGTCATATGAAAGCTTGTCCCACCAGTAACTAGATAAGCCTTTGGCGTACATGAGTCTTAAGATTTGATGTGGAGGTTGTGCATGACTAGAAGATGACCCATTTTGATTTCGAGTTAATTCGGTCAAGGTCACATGCATGAAATACTTGTCTAATCAAGAATTCGAGTGTCATCATTTATAGGTGTGTTAAATATGTTAGTTATAATCCATATTATATTTATTAAGAATTAATATTACTCTTTACTTTAATAGAATGTGTATAAGTATATACATAGTCTAGTTTGAAAGCAGTGAAAGGGGAGGGGGCGTGTAAGTATCATATGGACATATTTCTAGTTTCCATAGCATAAGTTTAAGTCATAACCGTTTCAACATGAAAATGTATAATACCTTGCGACATGCAGAGGTATTTTAGCAAGGCCAGTGGCAATTCTGACAATTTTAGAATACATGTCTTACAAAAGAGCGGCATGACTGAGTGGTTAACGCGTCAGACTAGTAATCTAAGGATTGTTGACCGCGTGGGTTCAAACCCTGTCAGGGGCAAGCCGTTGTTTCCTTGAGCAAGAATCAGGATCCATGCTGTTCGCTTACAGACCCTATAACAAGTAAAGAAACTGATAGCGAACAGCATGGATCCTGATTAGACTGCGCGGATGCGCAGGCTGGTCTGGATCCATGCTGGTCGCAAACCCATTATGTTGGTTTTGTCGTGACACGGCTCATTTTGCTGTGTACATTATTGACATCAATTTGACCTTTTAATTTTAGGCACTCACTCGAGCCAGTCATGTGATAGGGGAAATCAGAGAGACGCAACTCTGGTGAACAATGTATTGAGTAAACTTTGTATATATGACAAGAAGAAAGGCTGATTACAAAAAGAAAGTTAGAGATATTGACAATAAAACTTGCCTTCCAAGTGATTGGAACAGCTGTTAATTACATATGGCAAGCTGGTAAATGGAACAGCCACTGACTGCATTGAATAACCTCACTCAGAAATGCAGCTTGTGGATGTTTGTTGTAATAGATTATATGTATTTTATATAATATGGAATTCAGAAGATTAAATGATCAATTTTGTAACAAGTTTATATTCAACAAAACTATTTGTGGCTTTTTTTTATCTGTTTTGGTAATTTTCAAAGTTTTTCTACAAATACTTAACAATTTTATGTAAGAAGTAATATATATAGTTTTTCCTTTATAGATGTACTATATCTTGTTGTTATTTTTTTTAATTTAAATTGGTGGTATTTTTTTTTGTTTCTATAAAAAAACCTTTAAATCTGCATGGTCTGGTTCGGATATTTTGAAATGATTTACAAAAAAATGAAATATTTTGATGTGTACATTTTTATTATATTGATTTTTTGTTTGTTGAAATAAAAGTACATTGTTATACAAGTATGCAATTTTTCGCTTCGTTGATCACGAGTGGTAAAGAACAAGTTCTGTATACAGGTACATAAAACTACGCTTTAACTTCTTGACAGCTAGAAAAATTGTCATTAAATGCACCATATACCCGGTGTATTTAGTAAGTGTTGTAATATTCATTTTGTACTTGTTTATTTGTAATAAAGAATAGGGTCTTGTTTGGCAAGGTGTCAAATGTCACTTAATCTGAACCAGTTGCCACTTCATTATTGTTAGTTGAGTTCTTTTATTTGAGGCAGCTTCTCTTATTATTTTTGAAAGGAAAGTGGCTCCACCCTGTTATAGGTTTTCATTGGAAATCATGCATGAAGGCACACCTAAGGCCATATTGTACTTTCTTAGTTGTGGTGAGATTTCCTATAGTGACTTTCAACAGTGTAACTAGATACTCATTCAGACAACAACAACAAAAGATAACCTAAACATGTATATTCCTTTCAGACAACTGACCTACACATTTTTATTGGTTTTGTTAATGCTTAAATGTTTGATCTCTCATTTTATTTTCTGATATACAAACTTTTATAATGTAGGTGTTATAGAACTTTGAATGGTTTTAAATCGTAAATAATCGTTAAAATAAAATGATTAATGCATGTTTAGTAAAAAATAAAATAAAACTATCATCCAGATTTCTTTTCATAATATATGCTCATGTACTTGTAAATCTAAAAATATAACATTTGAAAATACAATCATCATGATCATATTTGCAAATTCAGTTTGTTAAAACAAAGGGACAGAATATTGAAAAAGTGGCAATTAAAAAAAACAATTGTCTCCCCTTTTCAAGTATTTTTTAAAGGTAAAAAGTAAAATTTTCCTTAACTTTTTAGGACAACAATGTTGAATGTAATTATTTCTTTTCCACCATTGTTAAGTGTCAGGAACTCACTTCATTTCATTGTCATTTATAAAATTGTTATTGTAATATTAGAAATATTCAATATTTATATTGTTATTATGTAAAATATATAGTACATAAACTTCCTATAATGTAATAAGTAAGGGAGACAAACCTGGTGGTTATAGCAGTATTACTAACTCTGTCTTATTATGATTTACTAAAAACAATTAGGGTCCTATTAACTAATGTATTTATGTTAGCAAAACACATTTCAGGGTATTAAATAGTGTGAACTTAATTTTTTTTAAAAGAGAGTACAGTTTGAAAATTTTTGAGTTTGTTTATTTAGGTGTGTAGTTAGTGAATGTAGGGCAGGAGAATGGAGAAGTTGGTGTGGAAATTGACGTAAGGGGGATATTCAAATAGGGGAATTCCATCCATGAAAAAGTATGAAATGTGTTTTATCAGTACATTGATTGTTTTTGTTTGTGTGTGGACTTTTTGTGTATCTATATTAACTACATTTTCTGTTCCTTTCCAATACACATGTTATGTATTTGATGGATTAAATGGTTTTAATTAGTGTATGGACACTTGCAAAAAATAGTTGAAACTGGTCAATATCAGATATTAATGACTCTAATATTCAGATGTTATAAAGGGTTTTTATAGTGTTTTATTATGGATTGCAAGATTGCTTACTAGTCAATACTAGTGCAGTAGATATAGGTTGTTAATATTTATATATTAACCTGTTGATAATCAACTTGTGTTCACTTTCAATTTCACTGTTGTTGTCAGTCTTTTGTCTAACAAAATGGCTGAATCTTATCAGTATTGGAGGTGTGTATAAATGCTGTTATTTGATTGGCTAATTAGACCTGTCAATCAAACCTGGCAGAAAGGTTAAGTGATCTTCTTGATAATATTATGCAGATAGACCATGTACATCCATACATTATCACAATTAGACCATGTAGATCCATAAATTATCACAATTAGACTATGGAGTTGAGTGCATATAAATAACCTATAGTTAAACCTTACAAAACCACAACGCAATCAAATTATTAAGATAAGTCTTGATTCAGATAGATTTTGATTTTTTTTTTTTACCATTTCTGGTCTCTTTTGTAAAAATTCTTAAGCATTTGCATGTGAATATCATATATGTTTATAGAGGATCTTTCTTGAGTTATCTCTTAATACAAATGTATTATTATTGAGTTTAGGAAAGTGTTATGTAGTAAACCTGTGGTGAAACAAGTTTGTGGTGAGATTTTTTTAAACATTTCCAGAACAATTGTCTGCATGAAATGACAAGTAATGTAGGATTCACATTATGTTATAAATAGTAGAAGAGAAATACAGCAAAACCACCTTTTCACAAGTCTTTTGATATCAAACTTCAGAATAGCCAATAAGAAATTGGGTATTTATTGTTGTATGTCTTGAAAGGAATATATTTTCACCCTTACCACACTTAATAACTTCTTTATTTCAATATGTACTAAACAATTCATTATTTTTATGAAATTAAAAAAGAAAAAATCTTCTGACTGAAAAGCCAACAGTGCAAACCCTGATCACATGGCATGAATGTACCGGCTGGTCTTGGTTGGCACTGGTGTCATGGGTAGAATCAGTTGCAGCTAGCAGAGTAATGATTCAACAGTTAACGTGATTTCTGTTATCTAGCTAACATATAATAATGTGTACTGTATATATTGTTTGAAAGATATTATTATGTACAAAACATATTTTTGAATATAATTTCACTGTGAATTGTTCCATACTAAAAGTTTCTGAAAACTTACCTTGTTCACAAAAATTGGGGCAAAAATAGACTTCTACTTGTTGACCTCTATGTACTTATAGTAGATCTTTACTTTTGATATACTTCAAGGTTATACTGGTTCAGTTATGTGCTGTTTCGAAAATTATATTTGTTTAAGAATTTTGTTTAATTTAATGGCAATGTGTTACACCTCTTATAGAGCTTCAATGAAATTCTCCACAGTAGAAAAGTGACTAATTTCTTGTATAAAAGTGCTATTTTTTCTGTTGTTTGTTGACCAAATAGAGAAATCTGTGATGATTATGTTGTAGTACTAATGTAAGACAATTTTTGTGTGCTCTGTTTTTTTTACATTTTTTATGCTCTTTCACCATTATGATGGTAACACTTGAGTACTAATCCAAGTTCTGGATTCCATGTGAATGCATTTATACTGTTAATGTGAATATTTGTCTTCAAAATCTTACAAGATATAAAAAAAATGTAATATATTGTGTATTTGTAGACTGTAAAACTAAATTTATTACCCATGAAATAAATGGCTTAACAAACACTTAACTTTAATTGCTAGGGATCAAGCTTTTTCCATGTCTACAGGGATAATTAGCTGATTTCAGGTCATGATCAATTATAAATGTATTATAAATAAAATTACAGTCAGGGCTGTCTATGAAGGTCAGGTCATTGGTAATGAAAAAAGAACCTTATTCATAGGTTATCATTCTTAAAGTTTAACTGTATTTGGATTGAATAGAAAGTTAAATTCTGGTCTTTATATTCAGGTTTTGGTAGATATGGTCTTAATAGAAAGGTGGTCATTAACTCGGGATAGACTGTATAAAATCATTTAATATTCTGCAGTTTTAATCTGATAGCATAAAGAAATGATCTTACTTCAATGTAAGGAAAATGTTAAGATAACATTTGGTTATAGAATAAGTAAAATATCTTGTAATAATTATCAATAAACTTTCTGTTGAAGTATTTATAAAGAGATGCTAAGTTATTTTCTTCCCTTGTTACTGTACAATTTTTAATATTGTGATACTCTATGACTTTGATTTGACTATAGCCCAATATGCTTGATGTCTTTATTTTCTGGTACAAATTTCTTGAAAAATCTTGATCTTCCCCATTTCAGCACCACATGACCTAAACTTTGTTGGTGCGGCGTAAAAACCAAACAAACTAACTTGAAATATCTGTGAAAGTTAATGTGTATTTTGTTTTTTTCTTTTACTTTTCTGCTCAAGACAATGACATAATTTATAGTTACATGTACTTGATGTAAGAGGAAATTTGTAAACAATAAAAGTACCAACATTTTCACAGATGAGTTTGTTGTGTTTCTTATTGATCTTTTCAGCTTTTCTTATAAGATAATATAAGGTAATGATGAGCCGCGCCATGACAAAAGCAACATAATGGGTTTGCCACCAGCATGGATCCAGACCAGCCTGCGCATCCGCTCAGTCTGATCAGGATCCATGCTGTTTGCTATCAGTTTCTCTACTTGTTATAGGGTTTGTAAGCGAACAGCATGGATCCTGATCAGACTGTTATTATGTTGGTTTTGTCGTGACGCGGCTCATATGTGAAAGAAGTAAATATCACAGCAGTGAGCTGTACACATGAATTTCCAAAGAATACTGGTCTGTTAAATATTGGCCATGATTTACGACCTTTTATGGCTGACAGCCATCTAGTTACGGCAGAGTTCAATATTTCTTAACATGGGTGACACAAAATAGTTCTCTTCAAATGATGTAAAGTTTACTGTTTGTGCTTTGAAAAAAATATCTTTTAGTTAGATATATTTTTTTTTGTATGTACATTATCATTTTCGTTATTGAAACCAATATGAATTAATTTTATTTCCATTTGAATAAACTTGAAACCCAACAGTTATAATCATTATATAACAGTACCATGTTTTAAAGGCAAGTTTGAAATGAAGGTCAGAGAACTCTAATGTGGGTATGACTAAAATACGCAATGGAAATTTTTGGCAAACAGGCACAACATATGCTTTTTTTAGCTTGACTATTCGAAGAATATGAGAGCTATTGTAGTCGCCACGGCGTCGGCGTTGGTTAAAGTTTTTTGTAAAGTCAAATATCTCAATTATTGCTTGAGACATTCAATTGAAACTTACAATACTTATTTATAGTAACAAGGTACATCAGATTGACAAGTTGGATAACTCTACCTACAATATTGACAGAATTATGCCCCTTTTTAACTTAGAAATTTTGGTTAAAGTTTTTTATAAAGTCAAATATCTCAATTATTGCTTGAGATATTCAATTGAAACTTACAATACTTATTTATAGTAACAAGGTACATCAGATTGACAAGTTGGATAACTCTACCTACAATATTGACAGAATTATGCCCCTTTTTAACTTAGAAATTTTGGTTAAAGTTTTTGTAAAGTCAAATATCTCAATTATTGCTTGAGATATTCAATTGAAACTTATAATACTTATTCATAGTAACAAGGTACATCAGATTGACAAGTTGGATAACTCTGCCTACAATATTGACAGAATTATACCCCTTTGAAACTTAGAAATTTTGGTTAAAGTTTTTTTGTTAAGTCAAATATCTCAATTATTGCTTGAGATATTCAATTGAAATTTACAATACTTTTTTATAGTAACAATGTACATCATTTTGCGAAATTGCATAACTCTGTCTGCAATATTTGCAGAATTATTTGCCCCTTTGAAACTTAGAGATTTTGGTTAAAGGTCTTCAAAGATATTTACTTGAAACTTTACACATGTACTTAGGGTAATAATTTGAGGGTCATAATTGTATGTCACTGACCAAGTTCCATAACTCTATCTTGCATTAAGGCTGATTCATATCCCCTTTCCTACTTAGTCTCTTGGTTAATGTTTACATGCAAGTTTTACATATCTCAATAACTATTAAAGATATTTATTTAAAACTTCACATATGCATTTAGGGCCAGAATTGTAGGTCACTGACAAAGATCCATAATTCTATCATGCATTTAGGCTGATTTTTCTTCCCTTTTTCATCTTAAAAATTCATGGTAAAGTTTTGCTTGTAAGCTGTTATCTCCATAACTACTGAAGGGTTTGTGCCTTTTTTGGGACAATTTTATGCATTCATAATAAAGCAGTGATTTACTTGATAAAACATCTTAATAACAAGCCTTTGTACCTTTTCTGTCAATTTTATGTATTCATAGGTAATTAGTAGTATTATTATACCCTTGTGACATTACCTTCCAAATAGTCAAGCAAATACTGTATAATAAGGCTCTCTCTAAGGCCTATAACATGAATTTATAAAAAAAAATTAGCCCTTTTGTGAACTTAGAAAATTTAACATTATCAAGGCTCTTTTACTATCAAGCACTTAGAATAGTCGAGCATGCTGTCCTACCGACAGCTCTTGTTATGAAAACAATAAGATTTAAGTAATAAAACAGATTAACTGAGCGAAAAATATAACTTTGTTTTAAAATAAATCACAAATAGTTGCAATAGGTCGTTTTGCAGGATTCTATGACAATAAAAGAGATGCCTTATTTTCTTTTAACTTTAAGACATCATGGACACTATAGCCATATTAAACCCGCAAGCCATTATGGCCCTTCAGGCCTTTGATTTTGGTTTATTTGTCCATGTACATAAGTGTAATGCCAAGTCCATGCTTGTGTGAATGAAACTGATGCAAAGGATCATCAATGCACTATTTCATGTAGATGATAGGAATCTGGCAAGTTTTTGGGGTTTTTTTTGGGGGTGGGGGGAGAGTTTCAGGAAGGTATGGGGAATTTTGAGAATATGCAGACACAAATATTAATATCTTAAGACAATGAAAAATTAAAAGGAAAAAGGCTCTCCTTATTATTCCAAACATAGCTTTTCAGGGCATTGACTGCAAATTACATCAGTACAGAGCCAAAGTACCCTACTCATTTGTGCAATCTCACCTAGGGTCTCCAGGAAATCGTCTTGGTTGATATATATTTGCACCAGAAAATTCACCAATCAGAAATGGTTTGCACCATTGACCCCAAAAGTCGGAGCCAATTTCGTGCAAGGAGACATGCCTTTTGCATTAAGATATTAAAGTAATTATACCATATACGGATAATTATTCTTACATTGACATCATTAAATTTTGCCAGTATTTTGTGGAAATTTTATGCACAAGGATTTATACTTTGTGACATTTGGTGCAATTGGCAACTGAGGAGACAATAAGAGTCCTGCCTTTCCCATTTTGATATCAAAATCACAAACATCAACAAGAAACAGGGCAATGCCACGAAACCAGGTTTTCAATTATCACCATTTTTAGGTTGTCATATAATATAAATAGAAGCAACCTATAATATAACTCTATGCATTGAAACAGTTACAAGGAACCTATGGAGCTGAAATTAAATCAAATTTATATCTCATTCCTAAATCTAGTTACAGACCTGAAACCAATTTTCTATTTTTAGTAACAGTGGCTTTTTAATGACCCCAATAGATAAATAACAAGAGGGCCATGATGGCCCTGAGGTCGCTCACCTGTATATAGTCCCCCCAACCCCCACCCCGCAATGTTGCAGGGTCAATTTAACCCAAGGGCTTTTATTTGCACAAACTTGGTAGACACCCATAAGAAAATGTTTCATGCTAAACATCTAAGCTCTAGCTCATAGGGCTTTTTAAAAGAAGATTTTTTTAAGTTTTTACTATACACATATAGTTAAAAACAATGACACCCCTGGGGCCGGGCCAGTTTTGACCCCAGGGCTTTTATTTGAACAAACTTTGTAGACACTTACTAGAAGATGGTTCATGCTTAATATCTTAACTCTAGCTATTTGGTTTTTTTCAAAGAAGATTTTTAGTTTTTGCTATACACATATAAAGAAAATCAATGACCCCCGGGGCGGGGCCAATTTTGACCCCAGGGCTTTTATTTGAACAAACTTTGTAGACACTCACTAAAAGATGTTTCATGCTTAATATCTTAACTCTAGCTATTTGGGTTTTTTCAAAGAAGATTTTTTAAGTTTTTGCTATACACATATAAGGAAAATCAATGACCCCCTGGGCGGTGCCGATTTTGACCCCAGGGCTTTTATTTGAACAAACTTGGTAGACACCTATTAGAACATGTTTGATGCTAAATATCTTAGACATAGCTCTTTGAGTTCTTTAAAAGAAGATTTTTTAAGATTTTACTATATGCATATAGGGAAAATCAATGACCCCCCGGGGCGGGGCCAATTTGACCCCAGGGCTTTTATTTGAACAAACTTGGTAGACACTACTTAGAACATGTTTCATGCTACATATCTTAGCTCTAACTCTTTTGGTTCTTTTAAAGAAGATTTTTTAAAGTTTTTACTATATGCATACAGGGAAAATCAATGACCCCCTGGGACGGGGCCAATTTTGACCCCAGGGCTTTTATTTGAACAAACTTGGTAGACATCCATTAGAACATGTTTCATGCTAAATATCTTAGCTCTAGCTCTTTGGGTTCTTTAAAAGAAGATTTTTTAAGTTTTAACTATATGCATACAGGGAAAATCAATGACCCCCCGGGGCGGGGCCAATTTTGACCCCAGGGCTTTTATTTGAACAAACTTGGTAGACATCCATTAGAACATGTTTCATGCTAAATATCTTAGCTCTAGCTCTTTGGGTTCTTTAAAAGAAGATTTTTTAAGTTTTTACTATATGCATATAGGGAAAATCAATGACCCCCCGGGGCGGGGCCAATTTTGACCCCAGGGCTTTTATTTGAACAAACTTGGTAGACACTCACTAGAAAATGTTTCATGCCAAATATCTAAGCTCTAGCTCTTATGGTTTTTTAAAAGAAGATATTTAAAGTTTTTTCTTTCGGTTGCCATGGCAACCAGAGTTCTGCATGGAATTAAATTCTTTGAACAATTTTTAAAGGTGACCACCAAAGGAACATTCCTGTGAAGTTTGGATGAAATTGGCCAAGTGGTTTATGAGGAGATGTCATTTAAAGTAAAAGTTTACAGACGGACGGACGGACGCCGGACGAAAAGCGATCACAAAAGCTCACCCTGTCACTTTGTGACAGGTGAGCTAAAAATAATCAAATCACAGAACCCTGACAAACGCACCAAGGCACTTGATGACATTAAGCATCTGTGTCCTCAAAATTCCTTGAGAAATGTAGGAAGGGCACAGAAGAAATTCTTCACTATATGAATTATTCTATATAAGGAAAAAAAACAAGGGCCATAATTAGGTCAAAAATTATGCAAACACAAAACACTAACAATATGCGAGAGGGCACTTGATGAAAAAGCTTCTGTGAAGTTTCATCAAAATCCCTTGATAAAAGTAAGAGGAGTTGCGCACAGAAGAAATTGTTTTGGCCTGCCCGCCAACGATGATCAATCTAATAACCTTCGGAAAACCTGTTTCACAATGAACAGTTTCATCCATTACATGATCATTAAGATGAGTGTAGTATGTTCCTTCAACATAAACAAACAAAACTTTTCTTTACAAACATTTATTCACAAAAATATAATATCAAAGAAATGAATATATGTTCATGAACTTGAGTATATTTCAACAAAATTGTAGACAATGAGTATAAAAAAAATGAGGATTTTTTTCAGATTTTATGCAAGAAAAGTATAAAGATATTATCCAGACTTTAGGCAAAAGGGATACAAACAAAATATAAAGTTTTTTTTCCAGATTTACGGTAAAAGTTATACAGTGTCAAGCAGTATCTTGATACTCTGGGATATAATCATAAAATGATAGTATTCAAAAACACATTCCACTATACAAATGACATGTTTATATCTTATAATTACCTAACTCTATTGTACTGTAAAAAAATATATCCGAGATTTCTTAACTAGAATTTAGAATGTGTCAAAACTTACGGAATAATTTAATATGTCACTGACATTCAGGTTTCCAGTTAGGAATACAGTTTTGTATTCAGAAACAGTATTTGGATTAGATTATAACATATAATCATTATATATATATACATGATACAGACTCGACTAAAACAAAGTAGACAGATTCTAATTGCACCTGACATGTCTTGATATACACAAATTCATCATAAGACATTGTTAATAAAACAAGCACAATTATTGTATTGATTTATCACTATGAGATTCTAATATATGAGAAAAGTATGAGGCATCAAGTTTAATATCTTCTTCAACTATAATGTTACAACCTTTATAATTGCACAGTTTAACTTTCATTTAGATATTACTCAACAATCACAGTCACTTATGCTTTGTAATGCATAGTATTTGTTTTTTTTCTTCTGCAGAAATTAAGCTAATGATGAAAAACAAGACGAACAATGTTTTTTTTTAAACATATAACTAGAAAACAACAACATCAACATATGTAAAATTGAGACCTGTTGGTATGAAAACTTAAAATAAATAGATTGTAACAAGTCTTTTTAAGATAATTTTTTTCTAGAATTTTTACGTAGATTTGAAACAGCAGTATAACAATTTTGTAACAGAACACAAATGTCTAAAAAAATGAAGGAAAAAAAAAGGAATATAATGGATTTCCTGTCATCGTAAATAACCTCTAACTGTATTACAACATTATATAGTAAATAAGTACATAAAGTTCTATAAACACAATAACAATTCTACTCTAATGCATCACAGTAAATATTTGATATATATAAGTTGAATGAGTTAACAAATGTTTTATCGTGAATCTTAAATCTATACAAGTTTGTGGTACAAGAAAAATGACACTTTAAAGCAGCATGCCTCCAGATGAGTACAACAAAATTAATCTTCACAAAATCAAATTTATGAAATATGTCCTTTCTAGATATGTATAGATATTCACAATAAAGGAAAAACTAAAAGGCCTTATATATACCATACTGAAGAGTTTAGGTTAAATATTAAATTTATTCATATTATATGAGCTGCTTGCAAGCATTTATCACTTATGTTATTTTGTTATTCAACTAAATTAATTAATATAGTAAAGGACCTACACAAATGTATTTTTCTATTTATCACATACATCAAATGAGAAATGTTTATAGTAAAAAAAAAAATTATTTTTCCATGACGCACTTATAGTGTAATGCATCCTTAGTATGCTGGTATGTATCAGGCAAGTAACAGTATTTCAGTTTTCATAAAAATAAACACAAATCTGGAAGCATGCTGCTTTACGAAAGTATTCACATATTCAAAACAAGTTTATGTTACATAATAACATATTCAAAACAAGTTTATGTTACATAAAGCACCTTTTAACTAAAATTTTCAGTCCTCGGATATTTCTATTTTAATAATATTTAACTTACAACAAAACATTAGTTACTCTCTTTCCTTCGTATATGATATCTAAATCAAATGTCCTTCCCTTTTTTATTTATCTATTGTGCATTTGACATCAAATAAAAATTTCCTTTTTCCCATTTATTTATCATGTTTTTTATTTGAAACTGTTTTAATTTCCTTTCTTTTGTTTATATTCTATCCAATTCTGACTAATACTGTACTTATTTATCTTTTTTTAAAAATCTTATGTAATGACTCAAAGTAAAAGTTTTCTGCGAAATTTAACTTAAAAAGTAATGACAATTTTATCAATGCAACTATGGCAAATATATATCCTCTCCTTCCCCCTGATGCCCACACTTAAGTCTAAATACATGTAAATTGCTGATTTTTGCAAGTTTACAAAGTCAAACAAATTAATCAGATCTCAAGCAAAATAAAGTAAAAGTACAAAATTTCATAGCAAACATTTTTTATCAAAATAAAAAAATATTTGTGATATAACTTTAATATAACATAAACTTACCATAACATACATGTATATTTATGTTAGTTCTTAATAGTTCTTAAAAACTTTTGAAAAAGATCAATTTTTTTTAAAGATTTGTGATATTTCTTTTTTCCTTTTGGAATCCAAAGACCAACCAGTTCAATTATTGAAACATTATTTGATTTTATTTCTCTTCAGTTTTACTATACAAACTGTCTGTTCTTCCTGTACAAACAAACTCTCTATTTTTGTTCTGGGACAAACCATATTTCATTGTGTCTGTTTAACAATGTAAAGGGCGAGTCATAGCCAGCGGTGTAGTAGTAACTCTTCTCGTATTTTATACCCTTGGCATCCAATGCATCTGCCAGCTCCGTTGCATGTTTGGACCATGCTTCAAAAGTGTAGGTAAATCCTGAAAATTGCCTAAAAAAAAGAAAAGGAAAAGCTTTTTTTTTAAATTAAGAAAGTATGTAAGATAAAGGGTTAGTATGCCTCATCACACACTTGTATGAAATAATTAGAAATGATTTTGGAATAAATAACTGACTCAAGCTTTATTAAATGGTAGGTTTTCTATTTTTTTTCACTTGATTTATTCTTCTCATTAAATAAAAGAACAACAATATTGTTTTACATGGCCTCCAATATTGTCAAATTTAAGAGATCAAAAACTTTAACCAGAAATTCAAACAATTTTTTACCTGACGTAAACTATTTGTTTTTGTTTTGTATCAAGATAGACTTCCTTATTGGACGGTTCTGGAATGTCACGCACTTTCGAAGAGACGTAAAATGACATGATGAAATCAGATTCACATGCTGGCCCCTGTGCTGGGATAATACGATTTGTCACTGGGGCAGTCATCGCAATTTTCTGCTCTGAAAAATTTAAATACAAAAAGTGAAGAATAAATACATGAAAAATAGTTATATAAAAGAAGCAAAATTAAAGAAACATTCATGAAAGCTTTCTTTGAGCTCTAGATTTTCATTTAAAATAAATTGTGTCCTTGCAACTGGTTATAACAAATCTATAATACAGCAAAATTTATTGCAAAAGTGAAAATTGGTCAGATTCACAGAATGTACATGGTGGCCTAACTCTACATTGGTGGCGGAGGCAAATAACTTTCTATTTAAAAAAAGTGGTGAAGGCAAATAACTTTCTATTTAAAAAAAAGTGGCAAAGGGAAATAACTCTCCATTTTTTAAAGAGATAACAGTCACAGGTTACTAAAAATTGAAACTATTTATTGATTTAAAAAGATGACAAGTTACTAAAAATTAAAACTATTTGTTGACATTACTTAATAAATTAAATCCACATATTTTTTTACTAATATGATCAGCATTTAATCAGTTAATGGAACAAACGTTTGTTTAATAAGCTATTTACTTTTCTCGTTTTGTCCAGATATATATCCAAAAAGCTTCATGAACATCATAGAACTTGCATCCTTGTAACTAATTCCAGTCAGATTGGTAGATACCCAATTTGAAGTATAGTACTCCCTCACTTCAAAATCCTGAAAGAAAACAAATCATTTAAATTAATGATGTATCTCAATAAAATAGAGCTACAATACTAATTAAATTTGTCATCCACATTTGAGCTTCAATATACTAATCAATATTTATTTGTTCCTGCACATTTGAGCTTCAAAAATATTTTTTTTCTTTAAATTATACTCTTATTTCCATTCAATTTTTTTTCAAAAGAAAAAAATTGGTCTTAGATATCATCAATGTTTATTGTTTTTTTAATGCACCACTTTTTTTAGTTGAAATAAATACTGGTAAAATTTGGTTTTCATAGATCTACACAGAGAGCAATATTAATGTCATTGTATCTACTAGTCAAATTATATCTCACCTTTGTAGTTTGGATCACTTTATATGCAGGGCAGTCTAAACTCTTGCAAAACTTGGGTTTCTGAAGGTTGGGCAGTACTTGACCAGTGTTGTGAGACTGTACTTGACCAGTGTTGTGAGGCTCAAACTTTAAGACATCATTTGATGTAGCAAATGTGATGAACATGGAAATCAGTGCAAATTTATCCATCTTGATCACCTTGTTGTTCCTGATTATAAACCTGGAGAAATACATAAATATCATAATTATACTATTTTGATTAATGACACTGTAAAAATGAAAAATCCTCAATTGTACATCTAATTAAGATGAGCAGTAGCCTAGTGGTTAAGGTGTTTGACTCTCAATCCAGGGATCCTAAGTTTAAACCCTACTTGGGTCATTATGCATTATGCCATAGTTGCTTGTATGACACCACTGTCACAACAGTACTGGCTACTTCAAGAAGGCGACTCAAAAGGGGTTGAAATTTGAAATATGCTTTCATCATTACCAAGCAAAAATAAGTATTGGAGTGGTTTATAACCCATACCACGATGAATATCTTAAAAGGACTTGTCCATCTATATAAAACTGAACTATACCATTAATCAATTGCGGTAAAATATTCAAAATGAGCAGACGAAATGTGAATAGTGCAGGCCATGATCAGATTTGCACACATCACAAATATGCAGGCTCTGGTTGCATTATATATATAAGGTAGAATAAGTAGCTGCAAGCAGGATAAGAGATAAGTTAAAATTAAAATATAATAAATTACGAGTATATATATATACATATTTAAACAAGTCAGCCATGAGATGATTTGCCTTGCTTTACTTATCAAGTCATGTTCAGCTAGTCTTTTGCTAGTCTGTACATATATACATACTGTATCTATACTATGATATATACATTTACTGTATAAATATGATAAAAGACTTTAAAAAGTACAAGATAAGTAAATGTATTTTAATATATCTATGCCAACCACTTAACCTTTAAGTATCATAACAATCCTAATATTGATTCACTGCATTACTATGTGTGTGGGATGACCACTCCAATCTTACATGTAAAGTACTTGTTGTCCTTCCAAACAGTAAATAATACCATAAAAAACAACATATTTTCATTTCAGTTATAAATATCAAGTGGAGTATATCTTTACTGTTTAGTGTAACTGTATGACAAGTGTTATTGAGTGCTGTACGTATTATAATTTTGTATCATAGTTTCAGGGGACCTTTCTGTTGAAAATTATCAGAGTTAAATCGTATACATATACATGCACTGAGTGTGTTAACTGGAGTGCAGGTATTAGTTACCCGCACTCCAGAGCATGCCCATTGATTGGCTCATTTTTGCTGGGGTTTACTTATTGTGACGGCAGAGAAAGGGAAAGTGATAGAAATATCATATTCAGATGCTCGTTCATTGGTTACCATTTCTGGGGTTTCATATTGTGACAACAGAGACCATGTTTATATGTTTGACTATGATACAAAAGAGAAAGAACATCAAACACTCGGCATAGCCCCCTAGTACAAATCAGATAGCCTCGTGTTTTGATGCTCTTTCTATTACATATAAGATGGTTAGTGCATACTTTCCTCAATAGCTAGTATATATCAATTTTGAACTCTCAATTGTAGTGTATCCTCTAAGAAAGTTTAATGTGCCTATTTTGTAAACTTTTTATTAAAATTATAAACACTGATCATACATTTCTTTACATGATTAATTGTTGTATACATTTATTCACTGGATTATTCAATCAAAACTATGCTCTTTGTATAAAAAGTCTAAAAAAATAAAAGTTCTGTTCTATATACTATATTTGCCATACATTTTGGATTGGATTATGAACTTTATATAAGTTTATATTTTTATAACAAATAAATATTGAGTTGACAAATCATCAAGCTCAATAGATGGAGAAGAAACTGTGACATCACACAGTTAAATTCAGTATCGGCAGAATTGTATTCGCGTAAGTTATCATATGTTGTGGGATTTTGCGAGATTTGATGCATCCTGGGTGAAAGTTGCCAAAATACTGCAATATTGAATTCCCAGATACATCGACAAAAAGATGAAACATTTTATACTTATATAAGCAATAGTTATTTATTCCAAAACATACATTATTTATTTTAAAATGTACAACACACACTTTTCCACACAAATACTTCTCCGATGAAAATCCTTGTCAGCAATGTAAACAATAATTCATGGATATCGCCAAAGTTTAACGAGAGTGCAAAATCAAAGACTAGTGGGGAAACCCGATTATCACTAAAGTGCGCAAAGGATTGTGGGTCTGAATCTGACTATCATATATTTTTGGAGCTTCCTATCCATTGTATATATATCTGTGGGCAAATTGACTATTTCCATTGGGCATTACTAATTTATACCCCGGTCACATATTCACGGAATACGCCCACGGATTAATTCCGGCATCGTCCGTAGCTACCCGTACTGGTCAGTAGCTCTCCGTATTGTTACTGTAATCAATCGTAGTAGTCCTTGTATATCCGTAGCGATCCTTGTCAATTTTTGAACATGCACAAAAATTTGCTACGGAAAAATCAACCGTAACGTATCCCTACTAGTCCGTATTAATCCGTACTGATACGTACTGGTCCGTACGAAAACCATAATAGTCCGTACTGATTCGTAGTCCACCAACTTGTCAAGGATTTCGACGGTTTGGTACGGAGAACTACGTATTTGTACGGTTACCCTACGTATAAGCTACGGTTTTAATACGGATTAATACGGCATTGTCACGGAAAGCCACGATCGTAATACGTTGTACTACGGAGAGGCAAGGATTAGCACGGTCTTATAAGGTTTATTGCGTTGCAACACGAAACGGTACGGAATGGTACGCCCCACCACTGTTTAGTACGGATGAATTAAGTATCATGTACTTTTTCAAGGGTATAAATACTACCTTCTTGTTAAAAACAGACATATTTATTTGCAGGAACATTTAATAAATATTAATTGCCATTTACTGGCTGCAACTTTATATTGAAATGGCTCAGAATGCGGAGGCAGTGGTCGAGCTGCTTGATGACATGCATAGAAGTAAATTTATATTAATATCGTACTACAATTCATAAGAAATAGAATAACATTTAATGTTACATATTTTACAAACATTGGATCGTGAAAATTGAGTAAATATGTACATAAAACGAAGTGTCTAATAAGCCTCGGACACTGGCCCTTGAGTGATAATAAGATTAATTAACAAGCTTTTTACACATTTTAAAAACATAAACATCACGATCATTAATGTAATTGTAAGATGAACAGCAAATCTTAAAATTAAAAGAGAAGCAAACTGAAAAGCAAATGTCACCAATTTCAACAACACTTTAAAGAAACTTACACAACAATTAGCCATATCAACACTATGTGGGCAGACATAAAAGACAATCTCCTGAAAGTCCTGGACTCCTGTGTGCCATCCAAGATGAGCAGCTCTAGATTTAGCCAGCCATGGATAAACAAAGACATCAAACAGTTGAGTCGAAGGAAAAAGAGAGCATATGCCCGTGCAAAATCAACCAAGTTTCATAAAAGCATAAAACGATATGAAGATCTCAAGAAAAAATCTAGACTGGCATGTCAAGAAGCCTACAATGAGTATGTCAACAATATTGTCAGTCCAGAGTCTGCCTCTAATCCCAAAAGGTTCTACAGTTTCATTAAAAGCAAGAAAACAGATAGTCAGGGAGTAGCACCACTGAAAGCAAAAAAAACGGGCATGACTCACTCCGACAGTGACACAAAGGCCAATATCCTGAATGAGCAGTTCTCTTCAGTTTTCAACAAGGATGAAGACATCTCAACTATTCCTGATATGGGACCAAGCCCACATGATCCGGTTTGAACATATTACAATCACAGAGAGCGGAGTACAGAAGATCTTTGCAGGACTTAATCCACACAAGGCTACAGGTCCAGATCAACTCCCAGCAAGACTTCTAAAGGAAGCAGCTACAGAACTTACTCCTGTATTTACACTGTTCTTCCAGGCATCTGTGGACCAAGGAATCATCCCTGACGACTGGAAAACTGCCAACTTGGTACCAATTTTCAAGAAGGGCGACCGCAGTAAAGCAGAGAACTACAGACCTGTCTCTCTTACTTCCATAGCATGTAAGGCACTTGAGCACATCGTTACAAGCACCATTATGAAACACCTTGACACCTACAACATACTTACAGATGCCCAGCATGGATTTCGTAAACGCAGATCCTGCAAGGTCCCACACCACCGATTACTTACAAAACTTCAATTCTATGGTATACGAAACAACCTACTAAAGTGGATAAACAGCTTCCTAGGGGATCGGAGCCAGAGAGTGTTACTAGACGGCAGCAAATCAGGTGAAGCACCTGTCCAGTCAGGTGTCCCACAAGGCAGTGTTCTAGGACCTCTCTTATTTCTCATCTTCATTAATGATCTACCCAACTATGTATCACCTGAATCCACCACTAGAATGTTTGCTGACGACTGTGCCCTTTACCGCTCTATCCACTCAGACCAAGATGCTATAGCCCTACAAAAAGACCTAGATGGACTACAAAGATGGGAAAGGAATTGGTTGATGGAATTCCACCCTCAAAAATGCCAGATACTCCACATAACAAACAAGAGAAAACCAATCAGACAACCATATAACATCCATGGACACATCTTAGAAGAAGTAGATACAGCAAAATATTTAGGCCTCAACTTCCAAAAGTCACTAAACTGGAACCATCACATTGATCTAACTACAAAGAAAGCCAACAATGCCACATCCTTTCTACAGAGAAACACAATCAATGCCCAAGAAGGACCAAAGAGCTCTGCTATATGACCCTCGTGAGACCTCTGGTGGAATACTCCTCTATCATCTGGGACCCTTTCACTGAGGCAAATATCTGGAAACTGGAGATGGTGCAGCGCCGAGCAGCAAGAATGGTCTTCTCAGACTACAGAAGAACCCGCAGTGTGACATCGATGCTGCAACATCTACAGTGGCCTACCCTCCGAGAACGCAGAGCCCATGCCAAGGTGACCATGATGTACCGTATAGTAAATGGCCTAGTAGAAGTCCCTACATCCAACCTCACCCCAGTCATCTCTGTTCGAGGACATGGACTCCACTACCTGGTACCATTCGCAAGGACCCAGTGCTACCAGCGATCCTTCTTCCCAGACACCATCCGCCTCTGGAACAGTCTTCCCCAGACAGTTGTAAGCTGTACAACCATAGACAGCTTCAAGAGGGAAGTACTCCCACTCACTCTCCGATAGACAGTCCGGTGTTTTTACCTTTTTACCAGCACTATACATAGTACTTTTTTAAATCACTCTTGTACATAGACACTTCTCACACTGCGCTGCCCTAGTACGAGTATACGCCGGAAGGTGTCTGTACTATATTGGAAGAAGAAGAAGCAGTATTGATCAACATTTTTCATTAATGATTACTAGTCCATATATAATCAGGTAAGAGAAGACAGACGAGATGGTGGACTAGAGATTGGCTTTTACGAAGACCGCTTCATGTTTAGTATGAGGCTCTCATGGCCGAACTTGTTGAGGATCCAGCGTCCTTCAAGAAATTCAATTTAATTGGACCTGATGTGTCTCGGGGTTCGGACGCGATTAGGCTGAATCCACTCCGCCAAAATCATTGAACGATGCAATTCAAAACGAATGTGTTCTATTCTTTTGAGGCATTTTGAAAATGAGCAAACAAGAGGTTGTGGACGGATGTATTAGGTCCGTATAGATCCGTGGCAATTCGTTCTTCTCCGTATCAATACGTTCTTCTCCATATCAGACCGTACTTATTCATACCAACCCGTGCTTATACCGTAGCAGACCGTAGTGTATCCGTAGTGCGTCTGTCCTGATTCGTGTCAAACCGTGTCGGTCCGTAACAGTCCGTGTCTCTCCGGGGGCTTTTGGTGGTAAATCCGTCGGACTCCGTACTCATACCGTTGTGTGTCCGTACTGGAACCGTAGCGGACTCCGGAATTTCACATTTCCGTAGTAATCCGTGAACGATTAGACCGTAGCTCTTCCGTGGCATTATCCGTAAATATGTGACCGGGGCATTACTTATTGATGCACGTCTCTTCGGAAGACGTTAAACCCAGAAGTCTCAGTTTTAGTGTTTAATCTAAGTATCTGAATTGTTGATGTAAACATTTTATTCAATTACCTTGGATCGACCCACCTTGGATAATTGTTTTAAATTGCAATTAATTATGATTGCTAATTCAATTACCACAGTCTCTCTCTTACATTTTCATTGGTTTGCAAAGTGTCAGAAAGGTATATTGTTTGTAAACACAATAATAATTAGAGTACAGGAGTATAAATTATACATGTAGTATTACGCAGTGTTATGTAAAGTATCCTGTTATACTGTAGCAGATTAGATACGTTGTGCAATCTTGCATAGGCCTAATTTATAAACAAGTACGGAAAGAAAAAGAAAAATTTATAAATTTCTTACTTGCTCTTTGTCCTGTAAACACGCTGAATGGCTTTCAGAACATGAAATTGGTTGTATAACAATTTAGTGTCACATGACAGTCACGTGATAAGAATGGTAAAATTTATTTTAAGCAGGGACAATACGACATTAAATGTTTTCAAATTTACTTCACATTTCAAATGAAAGGTATAATTATTAGTAGCATATAATAATATGAAAATTGTGCAATGACTAAACTGTTAGCTTTCCCTTGTTTTTTTTTCGTGATAATGAGAATTTCTTTATTTTTGATATCCAACCTAACCCGCCACAAATGGACTCCCCCATACCGGAAGTAAGAATGTTTACAAACTGTCAATGCCGCGTGCCGTCGCTTATGAAATGAACATTTCACTATTGAATATAAGGTTATAAAACGAGTTGATGGTGATAGATTTACTACTTCAGGCAAAGTTACACCACTTGAGGCAAAATAAAACTAGCTTTTCCTGTAAAGATCGGCTGGTACTGTTCGCATGTTTGCTGTCGTTGCACGTGTTGGGAAACGTGATTTTGGAGGGCTGTTAAAATTACATATAGATCTTAAGTAAGTGCAGGACTGCTGTTGCTAAATTTAACTCTTCGCCTCAAGGCAGTTTGTCGATACATGTGAACTTTTCTAGGTAATAGATTTATAAAGTATTATGTATAATCGAATTTTATCACTGTTTATTTCAATTAGCATTACAACTTATAATTAGATTGATTATTTTTGTAGATTCTACAGAAAATGATTTTATAATATTTGAAAAATAAAATATCTGTATATATATAGTCTACCATAATATGTAATACTCTTGGTGAAATGGAATAAGTTTCTTTATGTTTGATAAAGAAATATATATTATTGTGCTAACATTAAAATCTAAGTGTTAAGTGCAACATGTCACATGTTAAATTGTTATAAATATTTTAGACATACTAGATGTTTACTAAAATTTTATAATATTCTGTTAGATGTACAGAAAGATCATTTTGATGAATTATGTGAAAATGGTAGAAATTACATTTTATTAAATAAATAATTGTATTGAGCTTGAAATCTGATTGATTTAGTGTTTTCTGTGTTGACTTTATCTATATATAAGTAACTGTATCAATATTTGTTTCAACATTACATTATACATTGTCCATTGTAAAATACTATTTATAAAAAAAATTTAATGCCCCTAAAGTTAAAGCAACATGTTTCTAAAAGATTTTTTTGAAAGACAACAAAACTATTACTTTTTTGTTTCAGTCAGAAAACAAATATGAATTTTATAAAAACCATAGGACAAGGATTTACAGGAGTTGGCCTTGAAAAACCAGTTTATAAAGTTGTGGAGAAAGGCCAGGTAATATAAAATGCCAATATAAGTTCAATACATTTAAAGTTCAAAGGTGATTGATATCTACACAAAGATTTCTGACTTTAATATGTTTATTTTTTTTATTTTTGAGGTCATGAGGAAATATTTGAAATAGTGAATAAACAAATAAAGGAAGTAGGTTTCATAAATAAGTCATTAAATCATGAAGTAAGTAATGTTCATAAACCCAGTTGTCTATGGCATGCTGTTAAACTTAATTATGATCATTTATACTCTTGCTCATAAAATAAAATCCTATTTTAATGAGATATTATTTTTAACAGTGTTTTTGAAGGAATCAAAACATATCACCATTTCAGAAGGGCAAACTTACGCCATCTTTTAGCAATCTTTTCTTCTTCTGAGGTCGATTTCCCAAAAACTGTCAAAGTTGAATACTTAATGATATAAGTCTTTTATTAACTCTTAATCTGTTATCACTCATAGTCACTGTGTTTTCAAATTAATTCTCCTATACTACAAAAACTATCTGTCTCCACAGGGTTATGAAGAAAGGCAATATGAGGCATGTAAATGGGTATCAACAACTGTACAAGATATGAGTTCAGAATCTGCTAGAAGTAAAGGCTTTAGAAAGTTGTTTAATTACATCACTGGAGATAATGAGAAAGGTAACCTGTTTTTCAATGATTGCATGAAGAGCAGTTGACAATTTAAGTTACTGTACTTGCCCGAAAAGTCTGTTTGATACTACATCTAAACTCTATTAGTTCACTTCTTGGACCCCACCCCCAAATGAAACTCAACCAGTCAACCTGTAAGGTGGCTTATTTCAGTATAAATGATTATTTCTCCAACTACATGTATACCTTATTTTACACATACTTTCTAATTCAACAATTTTCATTAGCTTTTAGAAGATTGGTGTTTTCACACAGATGCCCACACTTGCCTGAAATGAAAGGGTATCTGAGGTATTGTTCTTGTAATTTACATTAAAAAGCTATAAACTCCCAATTTTTACCATTACTCATGTTGGCGTGACTAAAAACAGAATTTAATAAAAAAAAATTCACTTACAAAATTCAAGCTATTTAAATGTAATTTTTCAATCATAAACGTTTTGATAAAGCATGAATTAGGATATATTGTGTAACTGGTGATGAAGTTGTAGTTCAAATAACTACACACATTTATTCACCTGCATGAGTTCAAATCCTTGTTTGGACTTCGATTTCTTTAACCTGTTGTCCAAAAAAGAAGGTAATAAGCATTTTGCCATCAGTATAGAGCTAGACCAGCTTGCCTATTGTGCAGCCTAGCCATGCTCTATACAACTACCAGGTAGCTTATATTTTGGACTTTGATTTTGAAATCCCTAAAACTCCAAATTCAAAATGGGCAAATCCATTACATAAATTCAAAAGGTGAAGAGTAAATGCGAGTGTAATACATGTATACTTAACCTTTATCATGCTAAATATCATTAATGGACCTGCCCATCTTTCAACCATTCATCATTTTTAGGGGAAATTTTTAAGATTTATTTTGACTGAATAGCAAACAATGCAGACTATGAACAGGCGGCACAGAGGTTTGAGATTATCTTGGTCTGCACTGGTTGCATATGTAAAAGGCTTAATAAGATCTTCCACTACCTGTATCTGATGATCCACACAGTTTATACCAAATTACATGATGCCATGCTCATGCATTAAATTGTTATATTCTATAATTACAGAAACAAAAATAGACATGACGGCCCCGGTGGCCACTAGAATAGTTCCAGGAGCGGGACCAAACTGTGAAAATACATTTACTGTGTCATTTTACATTCCACCCAAACATCAGGACAATCCACCTAAACCAAAAAATCCAGACGTTTTTATTGAAGACTTTCCTCAAATGAACGTGTATGCCAGTGGTTTTGGAGGCTTTGCCAATGATGATGAATGGATAAGGCATGCAAGAGATCTGTCAGAGAAAGTGAAAGAGAAAAATATACATCAAGAATTTTACTTTTCTGCTGGTTATGACAGTCCTTTTAAATTGTTTAACAGATTAAATGAAATATGGATGATGAAAAAACAGTGAGGACAGAGATGTTTTTTTTTGGGTGATTGGGTGATATTTTGTAGCCTTGATAAGTGATTGGGTGATATTTTGTAGCCTCTTTACAAAAGATTAATACCTACATATACCTCATTATTTTATATCAACTTATAGCATTTAGTTAGAAAATTTAATATATAGTGAAGCTATGTAAGCATCATTGTGAATATATGTCATTGTAGAGTAATAATAGTAATAAATAGAGTCATGTGCAGATCCAGAAGTGGGTGGGGGATGGTTAGGGGATCATGAATGTCTCCAGGATTTTGCTATTATGCATAAAAATTTAAAACTACATTAGGGTCTGGACTTTGCCTTAAGTTTTTTAAGAAAATCATGTGAAAAAAAATCCACTCATTTCCTTCCTGGATGGAAAACTAGTGAAATGCTTAGCTCCCCCTTAGGTTTATTCTTTACTTTTGTGATCACTTCTGGTTAAAATTCCTGGATCTGCACCTGGGAGTCACTTTTGGCCTGTTATGAGACCACATTTTGATTCTGTTAATTAAGGTTTTTTTGTAATTACATGTCTACAATTTACATAATTAGATATGGATAGTTTTCAATTCTAATATAAATTTTGCTTATTACATGTACATATAGTTTGTAAATGTTTAAATATTTTTGACACTTAAATTTTCCTTAATGTATAGAAAGACATTTGTGATATTGTTTAAAATAGCTTTAACTTTAAAGGCTTGATGTATCAAAAAGAAAATAAGTTGGGACATTTTAACAAATGTAATAAATAAAAATTAATCATAGCACATGAACAAATCAGTATTTTGCCAAGATTTTTTTTAAAGAAATGAATGCTAGTTAGTGAAAAAAGACTGATTTTATATCTCCACTAGTTTTATACTCGTATTTATGCGTTATTGCTAACCATTTACATGTATACATTTACAATGTTGATGTCAAAACATGAGAAAAAAATGTTTAAGTCTGAAGTATTAGATTTATGAAGCTTTATTTATTTTGCTCTCTTTTTTTTTGAAAACAGGTTTAGTGCCATATAATATTATATTAAAGATTGTAGAAATTTGAAATATACTTGTTCTATTTAGAATAAATATTACTTTGTTCTTTTAACTTCCATATTGGAATATATATGCCATGACTCACTGGTCTGTGCTGGTTCACCTTTTTGGTAAATAAGTATCGTTTATGGTCATTAACACTTACTAAAATATAACATTATAATGCACTTGGATCATTTTTTCTGTCATACCCATTTTAAGGTCAAATGTAAAGGTCACTGGGGCCTGTCATACCAAAAGGTAAAACTGGCCATTAAATCAAATTGCATTGACCTATGAACTTCAGATTTTGTTTGTAGATGCCCTTTGATGAGTTCTAATAACAGCAGCCTTTTGCAGATCGAAATTTTCTATTTAAGATCGCTGGATCCTGTGATAACAAAACATTAAACTGGCCATATTAAATCAAAGTGCGTTGACCTACGTTTAGGAACTTACAATTTTGTTTGTAGATGTCCTTTGATGAGTTCTACCTGCAATACCCCTTTTCAGGTAACCAAGACCTGTTATAACAAACCATAAAGCTGGACCCATTGACAAAAGAACTTTAAACTTTGTATGTAAATGTACCTTTATGAATTCTATCTACCACACCAATTTTTTGTCATAGGTTTTGCGTTGTCCGTCCGGTTGTTTGTCCCGAAATTGTCCGTCATGAAATTGACTGCAGCATTAAACTTGCAATATTTTCAGTTTGGAACAGTACTTTCAAGCATTGAGAAAGGTGGAGCGTATTACTCCGTGGACAGTTCTTGTAAGACTCAACTATCAATTTCGTAGAATGTGCTTCCTTTTGGTTAAGAAATATAGAAAAAAACCTTTGACATTCTCAAAAAAAATTGTAGCTGTTATCAGACATGGAGAGTCTATGGCCAAATGGTTAAGGTCGTTGACTTGAAACATCTTGCCCCACCCCGTGGGGTTTAATCCTGCCAGGAACTTATATTCTTTCATGTAAGGAAACTATGCAGCTAGGGTACGGGACGTCGGTGGTTCTACTCCGGTGCCCGGTGCCAGCTTATGCCTGAAAAAAAAAGCTCGGGGTGGCACCTGAGGTCTTTTTCCAGTAAAGTTGGAAAATCACCGTTTGACCTTTGCAGGGTCGGTGTGAACAATGAAAAAAGGTTTTGAAACCCCCATTTTCTTTAAAATAAAAAACATTTGATTGATACCAGTTTAAAGGGAAAGAGTTCGACTCTAAAATAATACGCACTTTTGCCGTGAAAATTTCATTTTCCCGTACTTTTTGAAATTCTCTGTAGTAAAATTTTTGTGGGAAGTAAAATCTTTATAATATAATGCTTAACAAAAAGGAATTCTAGTCCCCAAAACGTATACTAGTACTCAGTTTGTGATACATACTAGCTCGACCGCACGTTAATTAGAAAGGAAAGGATCAGAACATAAAACAAAATTAACTCATTAAAACCTGGTATACTAGTTTTGCGTTTTATTGTTTATTTAAACATGACAGTATCAAACAGTGACAAAAACATGTATTAAAAATAAACATTTGCGTCATTTTCGTAAAAACTACTTGGTTGCGTAAAGCAAGTAACACTTGGTTATCATGTAGCATCGCTGTCCAAAATGCATGTTACTTCACACGACGAATTTTCATTTCGGTTCTCTTTAAGACGTACAAGGTCCAGTCTTTATAGGATCCCCAAATGATTCCTTGCTCACCAGGAACGCCCCATTTCCCATTAATGTTACTCTTAAAGCAGGCAGAGTACCAGTAGCCACCATGTTGTTTCTCCGCACAGTTAATGTTGTTTGCACCATCATTGTCGGCGTCATGAGCCGAGAACTCGTGTCCATTGTGATCAAATATAAGAGAATCGCCTAAAGCAAAAGGAAAGGATTGTTTGTCATGGTGATAATTATAAAAATTCTAGGTGGAATCTAAGTTCATCCCGATGGAATCTAAGCTCATCACTTTTCTGTGACTAAACTACCATGATGTTTACCCGATTCATATCTGAACAAAAATAACTTGTACGTAAGCTTCATAACATATTTCACAATATATATGGACGTTTTCATTGAATACAATTACAAATACCGAAAAGTAATTCATGAAATGATGTTTCCACTGCATAACAGTGATATGCAGATCACATTTCAATACTGTCTTCATTAAATAATAAAGACAGCTTCGGCGTTCCATACACAAGATTAGAATGTTTCAACCAACCTGCTGTACCGTTGTAACCATCAACAGTAAGCTTGTAGTGAGAGGCAGCATCGGCCACACTGAACGACGAATAATGCGCGAATTTCACGTGCTTCTGAAAATCTTCCAGCTCTACACGGAGTTCGTACTTTCCGGACTTTGTTATAGCATGGATATTGCGGTTCCCTGGAGAAAATAAATGAACATGGACAATACATATACACTTAAAACTATAACATGTAAGTAGGAACAATGATGTTCATGTTAATGGATGATCGTTTCCCAAATCAATGTGACGCTTTAAGATAAAAAGTAAATAATATTCTCTAAGTGACAACACAAAAATATTAATAAGAACTGCGACATTAACCGTGATGATGAATACAACGCCGTTTTTGTTGTCGATAATGCTGATTTGTTTTCTTGTTATTCTTTGTTGTTATGATGATGTTTTTGTTGTTGTTAATACTATTGTTGTTTTTGATGATAATAGTGCTGACAACGATGATGATGACTATTCTTATTATCATTACTATTACAAATGTAAAGCAAATATAGAAATAGAAGCAGCGATTGTATATTAATGTATACAATGTACCAAGATAATGTTCTCCAGTCAGGTTACCAAAGCCAGCTTCATACTCGCTATACGTCTTGTAGAAGTCAACAGATCCGTCCTGTCTCTTTTGAATTTGCTAAAATTGAACGCATACAGTATAGGTTGAATAATTCACATTTTCATTAAAGAAAGGAAAAATACTGTGTTGTCTTTTATTTTGAATGTAAAATTTAATGAATGTTTAGAACGCCATAATAATTATAAGTTTGATAGCTTAAGCATAGATATTGATAAAACGGATTCATTTACCAGCCAGCCTCCGCCCTCTGTATCCATGTCACAGTAAACATCTATCTGAGCCTCACCAGGTGGCGTCACTTTATACACTCCAGATTTCGTATTTCCGGCGTCTTTGACGTCAACACAATCCACTGGGTCACTTGCAGCTAAAAAGTTAAAACAGTCACTATTAGAGAATTCTTACTTAATTGACCGCCAACCTGGTGTAATTGATTGGATTGGATATGCTGACGATATGGAATAGTCCAGTCGAAGTTTAAGAGATTTTAGTATCAAAATAAATTTTAAGTATCAAAATAAATGTACAAAAAATTGAGCTACCATCAGTAAAGAGCCTGGTCAGACTGCACGGATTCACATGCTTGTCTGGCTCTTTACTGGTGGCGAAGGCTGTAATCATTTTCCAGCAGGTTAAAGAAAAATATGCAAATCAGATAAAAAAATAAAAGTTATCATGAGAATTAAATAGTATATAGCTCTCAAAAAACGTACCTTTCGTGCTAGAAATTAGTTTACAGATGTCATCTACACTCATCGTCTGCTGCGTAAGAAGAGTGCTATGTATGGCGGCAATCTGCGACTGCAACGACTGCGTCTGTGTGTGCAGCGTTTGCAACATCAACTTCAACTCCTGGACTGTCTGCGCATCGCCGGAAACGGCATGCTGTACATTTCCACTAATTGTCGTCTGCGAATTGACCAAGGGGGCCAAGCATACAAAAACATAGATTAATTCAAAACTGATCATCTTGAAAGTGTCCTGTGGTTTAAAAATAAGTGAGTACTAAATATTAAATATGAAAAGTAAAGTTCATTCAAATTCCCGTGTATCGAAGATATTTAATTATTTCCTTCGCTTATTTTTAACACAATCTATGGATGTCCTTGTCATCTTTTAACAAATGGTCAGCATATCTTTACATAAGATGACCAAATGTACTACGGTCCCATCACTGACTGATACTAGCTGCTAAATAGGGTTACCGAATAAAACGTTTGTTTTATGTCTTTATCTAAGCGTTACTTTATAGTATGATTAATAATTAATTTTAATTTCTCAAGTTTTTACATAGATTTGCTACAAAAGAAACACTTGTTATAAAAACATACCTGAATATTTCAGTTCGTATTTTTTCACCTTATAAAATTTTCTCTTAATTGTTTGTGTTTTAAAAGGATAGATACTTGGTCTATTTTCTGACGCTTTTTTATTTTATTCACTTAATATCTTCTTAATCAATTTATAACAATTTGTTATATATTCTAATAACAATGTAAATCCCGCAAGCAAATTTCCAAAAAAGTACTGACTCTGGAGAAGGACGAGTTGTATTGTCTTAATCAATTATACTAATGCAAATACATTTTCCGAATTTTGTATACTGTGTCGTGTATACATGAGGAGAGCTTTGAGAAAACAGTCGATTCGAATTTTTTATTTTTGGATGAGATTTATAAAGAAACTAGATTTTTTTGTACTTGGGGAAATGGCCCTAGCTTTCGTCTTAGATTTCAATTTAATAAATCATACTTTACATATGTCTTTTTCACATCTATTTTTAAATAACATTGCAGTCAGTATTTCAGGGGAGGGCCTGGATAATGTTGTTATATCTTTTAGCCCAACCCTTTTGTATATTTACATTAATGTATTTATGTATAATTTTGAAAATTTATGTATGTATAAAAATAAAATATGTAAAAAATACACTAAACCATCGCAGTGGCGGTGGAGTATTCTTCGCAGAAGCGGCCGTTTGCTGTTGTCGGTAAGTTTATGACTGAATTTTGTTTAATGTTTAAATGTTTTACGGAAAACAATTAGTAAGACGGGAGCACACATATGTACTCTATCAACTTATTACACGGACACGGTGCAATTCATTGCCGTTTATGTACAGTTTGACGAGGGGACGCCACTTTTGCCTAATTTTGGTTAAACACGTACAAGACTTTGTGTGTGCAAAACGACCCCATACTACAACGGCACCAATCGTATGAATGATAATTAAACAAAACAATAATGCCGCATCAGATGAAAAACAAAATGTTAAAAAGCGGCTTATAAAGTTTTGGAAGCCAGAACTTTTGCAATTTTCTCCTCAAAACACGATCGTATCCGGTGTACCGTTTCGGTCATATACCGTGACATTTGTCAAGAAGATATAATATTGACAAAAAAATGGGACTTTTAAAAAAAAAAATTTGAAATCGCGTTAAGCTTGGGCGAAAATTTTTACGTCAATAAAAGAGTACGTCATATTGGTTCTTTGGCGGGTCATTCCCCTTCAAGAAACGCCTAGTATAAAGGTTCTTTTAATTTAGCCGGATTGGGATTGAAAAAAGTTGCAGGGAAAACCGTTTAATTTCAACAGAACACAAGGTGAATTGGATAAAAAAATAAAAAGTTTAATCAAAATAAAAAATTGAATGTAAATCTACGCAATAATTTCAATTTGAATTTAAAAAAATTTGCAACCGATCTAAATATTTTAAATTCATCATACATGTATAAACCCTAAAAAAGTATCATTTGCATAATAATAATCACAAGCCTTTCCAACGCAAATGAACGTTCCAACATAATAAAATGTTATTACTTAACTTTCGGTGATCGGACGAGACGCGTACATTTATTTCGGCAATCACGCCGCTCTACTGGCGTACGTGCATACCGTTACTGTACTGTTCTGCCAAATACCAACGTAATTGACAATAGAGTGACGTCACGTCAAGGACACAGCGTTGTCATGACACGTCATGGACACAACGTTGTAATGACGTAAATACACGCGTTTGCCTAGTTACGGCTGATGCGACTGCACTGTTCATGACGTTATTGTAGCGTAGACAAAATGTAAAGCTTGCAGGCTCAATTGAGGGTAGGAAAACATATTGTGAATAAAAATAAAGCGAAATCCGTAAACTAGAGGCCCGTGCTGCCAAAAAGGAACGAGCAAAACGCATTCTTCAGTGGAAATAAAATATGCAAAATGTCTACTGCACCCGGTATTCCCCAAAAGGGTCA